CTCTCTCAAATTTGTGGCCTCAATTTGTTTAATTGTTGTGTCTCTGTCTGTCTGTGTTACGTATTTCTAAATATGTCAGTACAGCCTACTCAGTCTGTATAGTGACCTGTATCATGTGACTTCAGGGTTTACCTCTGTTTAGTCCTCAGCTCCAGCTGCTAGAACAGAACTCCTGTGCCTGAGGCTCAAGGATCACAGTGGAGGAGAACAGAAAGATTTATAAGAGCCAGAGGAACGGGATTTGGTGTCCGATTTCATTTCCTAGAAATGTCAGAGTAGCTGCATCTATGATGTCTCATTAGCATGGCTGTGTAAAGATCTGAAAGAGAATGACACCAGCAGACATTCTAACATGGAAGGGGGAGATCTTACGGGGCCTTGGCCTAAGTGTAGACCAGCCTGCTGCCTGGAGGAGATATTCTCTGACCTGTCGAGCTCTCTGCAAGTAGTGCAATGAACTCAGGGTTCCCGCTTTTGGTGATTGTTGTTGTCCCTGCCCCTGCCTCCTCCACCCTAACTCCTGTGAGTAATCCTAATAAACTCACTGGTTCACCTCATTGGGCTTCGGTGGTATCATTACTGTGGTCTTGTCGTGGGTTCCTGCTTGAAGTGAATAGATGTTTGTCTCCAGTGGTTCGCAGCCTTCCTTATGCCAAGACCCTTTAGTACAGTTCCTTGTGTTGTGGTGACCCCAGCCACAAAATTATTTTCATTGCTACTTTGTAACTAATTTTCTACTGCTATGAATTGTAATGTGAGTATCTGTGTCTTCTGATGGTTTTATGTGATCCCTGTGAAAGGGTTGTCAGCACTAGGTTAGCTGATTAAGTGCAGAAAACACGGTCTTCTAAGCTTTTGAGGCTAAACCCAAGATAGACCACATTTGGGGACATGAAATCGTCTTGAACTTGTGCCTTTAGGCCACAGTAGAGTTAAGTTAGAAACCAATAGTTCTGTCATTGTATAACTTGTGTTGTAAAGTTAGAAAAATAGTTGGAAAATATAAAAATTTCTGGACGTTAGACAGTGTCCTTCTAAAATAATATTGGATAAAGACATTGCAAGGGAAAGTAAAAATGTTTTGAAGAAAAATTAAAAGCAGTGAGAGCAGGCTCAGAGGTAAGTGTGAAGAATCGAACACACATGACAGAAAGGAAAGGGTTAAAGTCACTGGTCCACGCTTCCGTGCAAGCCTAGAGCAGGTGGAAGAAAAGGGTAAGAGACATTATAAGATTGAGTACAAAGACAAAAAAAAAAAAAAAAAAGATCAAAACTAAAAGCCGTTTTAGAATTTTGTTTTATTTGAGACAGACTTTCATGTAGCTGAGGTTGGAATCCTGGGCTTGAACTCAGGTCCTCAGGTTTGTGTGTTCAGCACTTTTATCTGTTGGTAAGCAGACCTGGAGCAACGTCCGATGCCTGTAGGGCGGGACTTGAGCAGCGGACCGTGTCTCCCACCGTTCTCTTTGGAAGCAGAGCATCCGGCTTGTCCAACCTGCCCCCCAAAGGCGGCTACACTGCCAGTGTTAGCATAGCTACATGCCGACCTCCCTGGTCTGGCTCATCATTCGGGCCCACCTCACCAGCAACAGGGTGGATCACATTGCAAGGGTGGCATGCACATTGAGAACCTGCTGGAATCCTTCAGTGTGTGGACCTGGCTTCTTTTGGTTGTATGGTGTTTTGTTTTGTTTCAGATCGTGGCTGGCCTGGCACTCACAGAATTCTACCTGCCTCTCTGCTGGGATTAAAAGCATGTGTGATCATGCTGGCTTAGGTTATAGGTTTTAATGACCACTGCAGAGTCTGCACAGATCATGGTTACATCAATACATCTGAACTTTTGTCTTGCAAGAGTCAAAATTGCTTACATGTTTTTCTGAGAGGTTTTGTTGGCTGGGACAAACATGCAGTTCTCTCCTAACTTCTTGGCACTCAGCTGTCTGTCACTCCCAACTGTACCATTGGCATGTCATCCCCGATAGCAGGATTAGGGCAAACTAGGCAGTCACAGATTTGCAATCCTTCACTGTGATAGCTGTGCTGGGTTACCTAGAGCCTACTGTCCTTTTGTCCTGAGGGGCTAGGGCCTGGAGCCTTGACCTTCCACAGAAAACAGTCTGTTCTGGCTGGCTTCAACTATTTTGTTGCTGTTGTCATATTCATTGATGCCCTTATTGGACTTGAAGGATGGTGTGAGGTTAAGGTCTCTGGAAACCCTTTAAGATGGGCTGTTGCTGGAGTTTCTTTCTAGCCTGGTCCCACGGCTGCTTCAGCCCCAAATAAACACATGGATTCTATTTTAATTAGAAAACTGTTAGCCAATATCTAGGGCTTCTTTCTGGCTAACTGTTAACCCATTTCTATTAATCTAAGTGTTTCCACGTCATCTTATCTTACCGGAGAAGGGTCTGGACCTGTTGCTCCTTCCTCGGCTGCATAGCATCTCTCCTCGAAGCTTCTCTCTGTGTCCTCTGTCCAGCATTCTTCTCCTCTGGTAGCCCTGCCTGTACTCTCTGCCAGGCTATTGGCCAACCAGTGTTTTATTCATCAACCAGTAAGGAAACATGCATACAGAAGGACTTCTCCCATCAATGGGCCAGGTGTTTGGTGGGTTGAGTTAGTTCTTTCAGAGCTAGTTGCTGTTGTTGGCAGACTTGACTAGTACAAATTGTAGCTTTCAGTGTGGAAGTTCAGATCCCCAGACCAGAAAGCAGGATGGTTCTGTGTTGGGAGTCAGTGGGTTTATGATGTGTAAAGACTAAATCCGCATTCTTCCTGGCCCTCATCCAGACTGAAGGCACTGGTGCCCTTAGAGAGGCCAGAGGTGGCGGGAGGGTGACGCAGAGCATCGAGCCATCAAGGAGGAGAGGGGCGTGTAGTGGAGGAGCGGAGGAGAGGAGGCTTAGAAAACCGAGCTAATTTAAAAATGTTGTGGAACCAGGGGGTGCTGGGGAGATGACTCGGCAGTTAAGAACACTGGTTGCTTTTCCAGAGGACCAGGGATGTGGTTCACAACCATCTACAACCCCAGTCCCAGTGGGTCTGGCGCCCTCTTTTGGCCTCCATAGGCATTGCATACATGTGGTTGGTGCACAGCCACACAAGCAGGCAAGGCAAAACACCCATATACATAAGATAAAAACACGTTATAAAAGTAAAAACAAACCCCAGTATTGTGTATGTTGGCACACAGTGTGCGCCCCAGCACTTGTGTAGGAGTCAGTTTGTTCTCTGCTTCATCTTTACATGGTTCTGGGATCTGAACTCCGGTATCTAGGGTTATACAACAAATGCCATCACCTGTCCAGACCTTTTCTCCCAGCTCCTCACGTCACAGGGAGCCCTGTACCCGTTAGAAACCGTTCTGGATTCCTTCTCTCCTGTAAATTGTTGACTTTTCGTCTCTGGATCTGCCTGGTCTGGAAGTTTTAGAAAGATCAAATCATGATGCGTATCCCTTTATGTATGTTTATTCTTTTTGATATTTTTAAAAAACGTTTTCAGTGTTCACTTTTCAGAATGAATGTGTAGCATGTCTGTGAGGCGGATAAGAACTTCACAACATGTTTGCATTGTGAGGGTCATGATCTCGGAAGAGGTCTGGAGGTAGGAACTTGGACAGGTAGAGCTAAAGGGAGAATAGGACACAGTCAATGTGAAAGATGCCTAAACCACATGGAATGGGAGTCACCACTGCTCGGCTTGCTTTAGTGTTCTTTGATTCCTCTAGTGAACTGTGGGGAGCTGTGACTGGGCAGCAGGTGTTTGGGGGTGAGGGTAAGACACCTGGAAGGAAACAAACTGAATGAATAATCTGCCCCGCACGTCTTTGCTTTGGGTCCCATACTTCATCCTGCTTGTTTTTCTTGTGGGCTTTCTCCTCAGTAGCTATGGCCAGACGGCCTCTTGTGTAATACTGTTCCAGAAGGAAAGAAACTCTAGTAGGGAGGGGACCTGGAAGCTAAACAAAAGCAAGAGGCAGCTTGGGGCAAACCCTTGCCTTATCAGTGTGCCAAGCTGGGTCTTTCTGTGGTAGATGCTCTACTGTTATGTCGAATGCCTTAGTGTGTCTTAGAATTTCCTTTCCATATTGTTTTCCCTGCACAGAATTTTCACACTAGGTTGAAGTATAGTATAGAGAGACCATTTTTTTTTTTTTTGGTTTTTTCGAGGCAGGGTTTCTCTGTATTGTTTCGGAGGCTATCAGTCCAGCCTGGCCTCGAACTCACAGAGATCCGCCTGCCTCTGCCTCCTGAGTGCTGGGATTAAAGGCGTGCACCACCACCGCCCGGCCTAGAGAGACCATTTTATAGCTTAGGACAATCCATTATAAGAGCACTGTCTACTGCCAGAAGTCAGAGCAGGGTTCTATACATGCATTGGTGTTTTAGAGTCTGAATGAATTACTGTACGTAAACTTAAGGGTGGCTGGCATTATGTTAATACAGAAGATGGTTTCCAGTGCTTTAGGCTTTTTCCCTGTCACATAAGACTTGAGATCTTCTCAAAGATCAGACAAGTACTGCATGGCTTATAATCTTTATGGCTATCTATGTCACAGTCAAGACTTTTTAAAAAAATTCCTGTGTGTATGTGTGTGTGTGTGTGTGTGTGTGTTTACACTCGTGGTCATGTGTGGAGGACAAAGGACACCTTTTATTGAATTTTGAAGATCAAACTCACATGGCAAGTGCGTTTACTCAATGAGCCATTTTCCCAGCCCAGAAGCTCTTTTTTTTTTTTTTTTTTGCCGAGACAGGGTTTCTCTGTGGCTTTGGAGGCTGTCCTGGAACTCGCTCTGTAGACCAGGCTGGCCTCGAGCTCACAGAGATCTGCCTGCCTCTGCCTCCCGAGTGCTGGGATTAAAGGCGTGCGCCACCACACCGGCCAGGTTTAACTCTTATCACCTTAATGAGTTCTGAGTAAAATTTTGCAGGATCGCTGAGTTTGGTAATGGTTGCAGTACAACTAAGATTCGCTTCTCACTCTGTTCTTAGGTGGCGACAGACAAGGTGGCGGAAAAGCTGAGTTCCACTCTCTCATGGGTGAAGAACACAGTCTCGCAGACAGTCAGTCAGATGGCCAGTCAGGTGGCAAGCCCTTCGGCTTCTGTGCACACTACATCCTCGTCTACCACACTGTCCACACCGGCCCTCTCACCGTCTTCCCCATCAAAACTGAGTCCAGACGACTTAGAACTCCTGGCTAAGCTGGAGGAACAGAATCGGTGAGTGAAATTGCTGGACTTTTCTCTTCTTGGTTATCATACAAACCAAACCGCCGCCAATGTTAAATATTCATTTCTACTGAGAATATTTGTTTCCTGGTTTCTGACCCCTTGTTTATCAGAATTACTGAACAGACACATTCCAACATTTCTTTGAGGGTGTTAGACCAAGATTTACCTTCAGCTAATAGCACTCTAGATTCATTTTCTTGGTGTAGCAGACTCTCTACATCCTTCATGAATTTTATGAATTATTAAGGCAAAACGATCATTCTTATTTATTGTGGGGATTGACCCCTCAGGCCTTGCTGTGTTAGACAGAGGCTTCTCTAGTGGCCTATGCTCCCATCCATGCTTTTTTATTCCAAACCCTCTAAGTGGTTCTCTTTGGTTAACGTATATAATAATTCAGTCTAGTATGAATATCTGATTGGCATTTTAGAGTGGGAAGTCCTGTGGAAGACAAGGTATCTTATTCTCATCAGGAGTATGAGATACGGAAATTGTTTCTTCTCGAGGGCTCTGGATCTTTTGTGCCTGTTTACTCTGCTGTTAAACTTTGAACTCTCTGGACCTTGGTGTGGGTGCACGATTGTAATCCCAGCACTCGAGGAGGCAGAGACAGAGGTCTCTGAGTGTGAGGCCAGGTTGGTCTACAGAGCGAGTTCTAGGACACAAAAGGATGTAAAGGACAGCAGTCTTTAGTGCCGGGCTAAGGCACATAATGCTACAGCTTTAAGGGTGACAAGGATAGTTTTGAATAGCTTTTTGTGATGTGTGACTCATGTGATACACGCATATTTAAAATGTACAGTTTACGGTTTTATTTATTTTGGTTTTTCGAGATGTATAGCCCTGGTTGTCCTGAAATTCCCTCCTTTATGTTCATTTTATTTATTTATTTATTTTTTGAGACAGGGTCTCTCTGTTGTGTAGCTCTGGCTGTATAGAACTCCCTATGTGGATCAAGGTGGCCTCCCAAGTTCCAGAAATCTCCTGCTCTGTCTTCCCAGTGCTGATATTAAAGGCATTTGCCACAGCCAGATCATTTCTTTGCCTGATCACAATTACTCAGATACTTTAGTCAGATATCAGTTGTTTGCAGATGTTTGGGTCTGTGTCTGTACTCCATTTCATTCTGTTCATTTGTTATTTTTTGGTATTAAGGTTGTACTGTATTGCTTTATTTATTATAGCTTTGTAATTGGTTTGGAAATCAGATGTGGTTAGTTTGAATAAGGATGTCCTATAGGCTCATATATTTCAATGCTTGGTCCCTAATTGGTGGAAGAGTCTTGGAAAAGATTAGATGTGTCACTGCAGGTGGCGTTGAGTTTTCAAAAGCCCATGCCAGGCTCAACAAAAGATATAATTTTATTAAAACAGCAACAACCCAAATAAAATGTCATACCTGAAGATTTATCTTTCTTCCTCCTATTTTGCCTTGCCTCCCTATCATTTCTCTGATCTCTGCAATAGTTGGTAAGGAAGTTAGTTGTATTTACAAGTCTAGAAGTAAAAAGTACGTGACGGAATTGTTGCCCGTGATACCACAGTAGATATTCTTATTTAACATATAGGATTCCCTTCATCACATGGAGCTACCACTCTGATTGTGTCTTTAACTGTTTGATTTAAGAAATGGAAAATGGAGCCGGGCGGTGGTGGTGCACGCCTTTAATCCCAGCATTCGGGAGTCTGTGAGTTTGAGGCCAGCCTGGTCTACAGAGGTTGTTCCAGGACAGTCTCCAAAGCCACAGAGAAACCCTGTCTCGAAAAACCAAAAAAAAAAAAAAAAAAAAGAGAGAGAGAGAGAGAGAGATAGAAAATGGGGCAATGTTTTGGAAAATTAAAATGTAAGAGGCATGAGAATAGAAAATTATTTTCCTTTATATGGTTTTATTGCAACTATTTCTTTAAAAAATTAAGTGTACGTGTCAACCCCAGAAAAATGTGAAGAAATGGTTCAGTGTGTATCAAAGATTTGTTTGAAGAAAGTTAATAATTGACAGGCTTAAGTTAAAATAGGACAGCTTTTTTTGGCTTGTTTTAAAACTTTTTCTTTTTCATATTAAAAATATAAAGGCATTGGCCGAGATGAATTTGAGGAGGTAAGTTTCAAGTGTGATGGTGCATTTTAGTTCAAAGGGGAAATGTTAATGTTTTAAAGTTTGAGCTATCTATTTGTGATGTTTAAAATTTTGGTAAAGCAACCTTGTTTATTTCCTTTTGCTTGTTTAATTTTACTTTTTGGCATTTCCTTCAAGGAGCGATACTATAATGATAAGACAGAAACTTTTTTTTTTTGGTTTTTCGAGACAGGGTTTCTCTGTAGCTTTGGAAGCTGTCCTGGAACTCACTTTGTAGACCAGGCTGGCCTCGAACTCAGAGATCCGCCTGCCTCAGCCTCCCGAGTGCTGGGATTAAAGGCGTGTGCCACCACTGCCTGGCCAGAAACATTTTTATACTAAATATATTTTATGTTTTTAAGATAAAATGACTATGAACCTTTGATACCCTAGTTTAAATATCCACACTCTCAATCTGTACTGTTAAGTGTTTTAGTCACTAACCCCATGGCTGCTGGGCACGTGAAACATGCCTCGTCTGACTTAGACGTGCTGTTAAGTGTTATACCAGGTTTTTTGATTTTTAAAAAGTAATATGATACTAATTTTAAGAAAGTGAGTATGTGTTAAAATGACATTTTCTCTTTTGAAATGACTTCTTTATATTGGATAAAGTAGCTCCATGTGCTGCTTCATGCTTGTAATCCTAGCACTTGGAAGGCAGAAGGATCACTGTAAGTTCCAGGTCACCTTGGGCTATAGAGTGGGGCCCTACTTCAAAATAAATAAAGAAACCCAAATAAAAAAATAAATTATAAAAATTAGTAATTTTCTAAGCCTTCAAAATGTAGCTGCTGCCTGGAACATTTAAAGTTGTGTAAATGGGTTGCATTATATTTCTGTTGTACAGTCTGGTCTAGATGGTCTAATGTTCATTAAATACTCAAAAAATACATAAAAACAGTATAACCTCAGTTTCTCTAGGAGTACTGTCTATAAAATATCTAGCAAAATTCATTAACAAATGAAAAGCTTTCAAGCAAAACAGATGCTTTCAAGTCTATGACAAAAATATGTGTACCAGTGCCTGACTAAATGTGTGTGTGCAATACTTGTGGAGGCCAAAAAAAGGTTAAAAGGGCGTTGGAGCCCTGGACTGGAGCTAAGTGCGGTTGTGAGCCAAAGTGAGTGCTGGACCTGAACCTTCCTCTGTAAGAGCAGCAAGTGCTCCTAACCACTTGAGCCATGTCTCCAGCCGTGTGTGTGTACATATACATGTCTATAAACTACAACAATCATATATATATATTCCTAATATATATATATATTAGGAAAACAGCATTTCATTTGAACTGGTGGTATTTTTCTGATTTTTTTTTTTTTTTTGTAAATTTTCTTTCGTTGGCCGGGCGGTGGTGGCACACACCTTTAATCCCAGCACTCGGGAGGCAGAGGCAGGTGGATCTCTGTGAGTTCGAGGCCAGGCTGGACCGATAGCCTCCAAAGCAATACAGAGAAACCCTGTCTCGTAAAACCAAAAAAAATTTTTTTCTTTCGTTGAAGGCAGGATTTTATTTAGAGTCTCACTCTGTGGCTCAGAATTTCTAGAATGTACTGTGTAGTCTAGGCTGGTCCTGGCAGTAACTCATGCCTCAGTGTTCCCAGTGCTGGGGTTACAAATGTCAGCCCTCATATCTGACTGAGGATGGTTACTTTAAGTTCTTTGTATAAAGAACTTGGAAAGAAATTGGCTTTTCAGAGCTGTCAGTTTGACACTTCATGTTGTTTTCTATGCTAAACTCTTGTATTTTCTATTTTTTTATTGATCAGAGAGGAATTTGTGTGTGTTGACAGGAAAGCATGAGTCAGGCATGTGGTCTGAATGTTTGTGACTTAGAGTTCTTGTGTTGGACTCTAATCTGAAACATAATATGTCGAGCCTTTGGGAAGCTCTGCTCTCGTGGATGGAATTAATGCTTTTTAAAAAAGAGACTTTAGGAACCCTTGGCAGCATCTGTCACTGCTAGTGAGACAGCCCTCGTCAGACTTGAATTTTAGTGTGTGGATTTTGGACTTCCCAACTTTAGAACTGTGAACAGTAAATATCTGTTGTTTATAAAATACCTAATGCAGGCCCAGATAGACTTTAAAGAGCCAGATCTTGCTGATTTACTAACCGTTTGATTGACAAATTATTTTCTTTCTCCAACATGTTTCACATCCTGTTTTGGTGTGATATTATTAGAGACTTTGGAACCTTATGCTGGAAACACTGTTCACTTTGTGATAAGACTCTCTGCTTTTAAGTACCAGAATAGTTAGCTTTCCATCCGTTTTTCTAACACAGCATTTTCTTGCCTTAGTTCTTTATAAACTGTCTTAGCACTTTGCAGATTACCAGTTGGCGTGCTGACTGGTTGCTGCTGTATTTTGCTCTGATAACCACAGGAAAACAGTGAGCCAAATCTCATCTGATATTCGAAGTGTTTAATGTCATCTGTTCATAGTTGCCAAATTTCTGTAGTCTTTTTTCCCCCTGAACTTTAAGCTGTTTCAGACTGTTGGTACTGCCCACAAGGATGTCTTCCAAGTACTTCAAAGCACAAATACTGATCGCTGCGAAGCTTTCCTTTCTTGATAGTTTCAATTTCTTGACTATTTCATGCATGTGTAGTGTAGCTCGGCCATGTATACCTCCTCCTCTCTCACCCCTACTACATCCCTCTTTCTCCATCTGCTAGGGTTTCTTCTCGCTGGCACACGTTCAGCTAACCACCGTAGAAAGTGCTCCCCTTGTCCCTGGAGGAGTGGAGCCTCACCAGCACCTCCTCCCATCCATGATGGAATAACGACAGGCCCAGTCTGGTCAGGTGACCGCAGTTGCTGCAGTGTAGTGTTCAGAGAAGTGTTTCACAGCACCCCTCTCCCCACTTCCCTGGGCTGAAAGAGGCTCTAGAGATGTTCCGTTTACGGCTGCGCACTCAGTAGTCACGCACTCCAACACTTGAACATACATACTTTTCTGCATTGCACACATGCACATGCAGGAGAAATAAGTTTCTCTTAGGTGGGAGCAGCAGCCCTAGATGCCAGCTGCAGGGGTGGGGTGGCAGAAGGGTGGGGTGCCAGGGCTCTTTTGTTCTTTGCAGTTACCTCTGCTTTCAAAATGAGCAAACCTAAACCGAATCCCCAGCCATAGGAGAACCCAACAAAACAAAACCTGCTACTGGATATATGTTCTGCAAAGCCTGTGCTGTATAAACAGCCTCTTGAGGGAGGTCATGTCTTAGTGTTCAGTTTGCAGAAGCAAAGTTGCAATGTTCATCTGTTAGAGATAAACCCAAACTACCCTCCGTTGATAGTGCTTCCTGATTCCCTACTTCATGTAGGATGGTAAAGAAAGTAACTGAGTAAGTTTTAGAGGGTTCTTAGTGGCCACAGACTGCATCAGTGATGCTGTCCCCTATTTTCCCAGTTCCCAGGCTCTGGTCTGGAAATTGTTGATTTTCAGGCAGTAAGTTTGTCTTCTACCATTATTGTAATTTCTTAATTGTATTGAAATTACACAGTCATCTGTTTTGGCGTCTTCCAAATTATTAACCACATTTAACAATAAGAAATGAGGATACTTATTAAGGCATTTGTAAATGCTTTTCTTGAATGCCATGTCTAAATCTAACCCTGTGTCATCTAGGAAAGGCCTGTTGCATGGTTTCCTAATGTGTGAGCGTTAGAGTGTGCTTGCTCTTTAGAAGCAACTTGCCCATTGCTTCTTGGCTCTAACCCTGTATATTGTATAAATAATGCCGTCAATTATAAGGCACTAGTATCTGTGTAGCTAGACAGAAAAGGTGTGAAGAAAAATACAGCATCAGAGTTAACGATGGTGTGCTTGTGTGTGGCGTTTACTGCAACAGTTCTTGCAGGCTCTGAGCCAGAGGGTGGATGTGAACGCCCAGCACGCCCACTGCTGCAGGCTTTATAAACTTTGTATGTCAGTGAGTGCTAAACAAGTTTGCAGGCCCAGGATACCGCACTGCTGTAGGCTTTATAGGTACTATTTATTTCAGTGGAGTTGTGGGCATGAGGCTGAGGGTATTGCACTGTCGGATATTTGAGGTATATGATTTAGCTAAGTTTTTTTTTTTTTGAAAGAGTCTCACACATAGCCCTGACTGGCCTAAGGCTGCTTGCTATACAGCCCAGGCTGGCTGTGGACTTCTAATGATCGCTCTGTTCCTGCCTCCGATGTTTTGGAATTACAATTGTATGCCACAGTGTCTGTCTATGCTACATTAGATCTACAATTTCTTTTTTCTTCACACTCCTTTGGGGGTAGAGCATTACATAGTTCAAGCTGACCCTGACCTTGTGACCCTCCCAAGGTAGTCCTTCCAAGTGCTGGGATTACAGTTTTTGCAGAACTGTAATTTTGATTATCTTTTGACTCATGCATGTAAAAATAATCAGCTTAAAACAATGTGCAGGTGTACAAAATACTTTTTTATTATATAAATTTTATTTAAAATGAAAAAAATGTACTTGAAAAACTTTGGTTAAAAAGACACTTGTGCACATAAGTGCACAGGCTTCCATGCACGAGTACGTCTGTTAGTCTAGGGCAAATCAGGATTATCATTGTTTCTTTTATTTGTACTTCCTGTCCCACTGGAAGGTCTGTAGAGGCAGTTAAAGCTTGTGGAGCTGTCTTTTCCACACTCTTACACACAAAAAACAAAACAAACAATACCAAATAGTGCTTTTCTTCCGGAGGCTGTCCTAAGGCAGTTAGATCAATGCTATAAGCTTTCTGCCAGAATCTTTTATTGTAAAATTAAGAAAAAACAAATTATTTAACTACTAAACCATATGTTGGATCTATCTAATTATATGGCTAAATTATGGACTAAACTACAGCTGTTCTGAGTATCCAATAAATATGTATGCTATCTAATCAGGTACTTAATGACTGAGAGTATCAAATTATGCTTAGGAGTAAAGATTCATTTAAAGAACTTGATGCCTAGAGAACATCAACATGGCTGGAGACTGGCTTGGTTTTTAGTTACATTAGGAAAAGAATCACGTTCCAGACAAACATAGTTGACATGTTTCAAACAATATTTTACAGGAGTATGGACGATAAAGTCCAAAGAGCTACACACACACACACACACACACACACACACACACACACACACACACACACACACACACACACTATATACACACACAATTTGAAATTGGATGAACATCCTGTACAAGTTAGTGCAAACTAATTTTGTAGACAACTTGCTGTATGATGGTGGTGTTTTCTAAGTTTGGTCAAAGTTACTCTTTAACTCAGTGCCAGTAATGTTTTTTTTTTTTGCTTTATATGAGTTTCACAAGGTTTTGGTATAATACAGCTTAGTTTCATTAACAAAGAAAGTTTCTTATTTAAGTGTTATTCCTGGGAGGTTGTATATTATTTAATAAGCCTTTAAGTTTATGACTTTATCATATTTAATAAAATTACTTTTTTTTTTTTTGAGAAGGGTCTATCTGTGCAGCTCTGGCTGTCCTGAAACTTTCTCTGTAGACCAGGCTGGCCTTGAACTCACAGAGATCCACCTGCCTCTGCCTTCCGAGTGCTGGGATTAAAGGTGTGTGCTACAATGCCTGGCTAAAATTGTTTTTCAAGTGTCTTTAATATAAACTGGAATTGTTTCATGATTTGAAAAATGTGTACATAAAAGTATGTCAAGGATGAGTGAAAAAAAATCGACTAATTTCAGCCAAACAGGGTTCTGAAAGCAAAAAACCTGTTCATACAAAACTTAGGTAATGGCTGGAACAGTCGGTTTATCACACATTATAATTTATGCAGTGTCTGGAACAATTGTTATCACACAGATTATCATTTACACAGTGGCTGGAACAGTTGTTTATCACACAGATTACCATTTCAGTTGTTTATCACAGATCAATCATTATTGAGGGCACTAGCCCCAGAGGAACCAGTGGGTCTTTGTACATGTTTTTCATCAAATTTAATTTTGTCCTTATATTCAAATGGGCTAAGCAGTTAACATAAGAAAAGTAAAAGCTATTAGTGATGTCTCTACTGAGAAACCACAAGTAAACCAAAGAATGTGGAGGGAAGGGCTGAAAGAGAGGAGGTGGGAGGGTCAGGGAGGGTAAGGGCTTGGGAACAAAACCAGTCACACTGCATGGACTCATAGCACCAATCTATTTTTCTTGACCAATTAGACCTTAAAATACAGGTATTTTTCTAAACCAATTAGACCTTAAAATACAGGAAGTGGGTTGGGTTCAATCTGGTTGGCTCTAATGCTCATCTAAGTTCTAGGTGTTATGAAATAAAATGAGTACAGAAACTTTCATGTTCTCCACCTAGCTTTTCATAGCTTTTAAAAATTTACATGGCTTCCACTTAAAAGCAGCCTCACAACCTCCTGCAGGTTCGTGGAGCTTTCTTTCTCCTTTCCAAGCCGTGTAGCGCACCCACCAGCCTTCCACACATTGAAGTCAGTTAGGAAAACTTTTAATCTCACATCTCGGTTCTGCCTCGAGAGCACCCCGGTGCTGGCACAGTGTTGGTACAGTCAGTCCAGTCTTTCTGGTGCGGACGCCCTGCAGCAGTGCTGTGTTGGGTGAAGAATGTGCTGTGCACCGGGAAGGACGGAGCGGGTGCGGCGTGGGTTCACAGCAGACAGTCAAATGGGAGTCCAAAGGACTTTCCGAGCTCCCCTAGCTTCATTTGTAGAGGATTTCCAATAATCTCTTTGGTCACATGGCATACTTCTGCGTCCACTCCCGAGCTGTTCTGTTGTACTTGTCCCTGTCTGTCTTGTAGATCTGAGCGATCTCAGGCACGAGGGGGTCGTCGGGATTGGGGTCACACAGCAGAGAGCTGATGGACAGAAGCACCTTGGAGATGGTCAGTGCCGGCGACCACTGCGAGCGAAGGATGTCAAGACAGATGCTGCCATTACTGTTGACGTTTGGATGATAGATTCTTGTCGTAAACTCCACCTTGGGTGGTTTGAAGGGGTACTCTGTTGGGAAATCAATGGTCAGGAAGAAGGCCCCGCCCTGATAGGGACTGTCATTCGGGCCCATGATCGTCGCCTGCCAGTGGAACATGTCTTCCCCGACGGGGCCCGCTGAGCACTGTGCCGGGGGGTCCTGCGCCAGGTCGTTCAGCTCCTTGTGGATTCTCTTGAGAGCCATGGCGGGAGGCTGCGGTGGCGGGGCCCCGGCGGGTGAGGTCGTGTGGGTCGGCGGCACAGGAGGAGGTGGGCAGTTGTGGCCTGGCCCCGGGAGGATGCGCAGAGGGCCAAGGCCCACCCCGCTTCCGGGCCAGCCACCGTGGACGCCGTCCCCGTCCTCACATCGGTTGGCGCATCACCCTGCAGCCGCCCGCCCTTCTTGTGCTGCCGCAGAAGCCGTCCCTTCCTCCGAGCCCGGAGCCTCCGCGGATCCCTCCGCCCGAGCCTCTGCCCGGGCTCGAGCCACACAGCCTGTGCCAGGCGCCGCAGACCCACGCAAGGGACAGCCGGGAGGGAGGCGCTGGATCAAACACCTTGTGATTGGTAGTGAAGTGGGCTGTTTGTTTGTTTGTTTTGTAACACACCGTCACCACAGACTCATGCCAGACTGTACTGTGATGTCATGACGCAGCGCCAAATATACCTTGGGTTCACTTTGAGCGAACCATCGACCGCTGCAGTTCACTGGAGAGAGACTTGATACATCACAAGTGTTCCACATCTCAGATAGAAGGGCTCTTTTTCACTTTTTAATTTGTAAGAGAATAATTTTTGTTTTTAGAGTTTTTTTTAATCTTTCATTTAACTTTATTTTATGTGCATTGGTGTGAGGCTGTTGGGTCCCCTGGAAGTGGGGTTACAGACAGTTGTGAGCTGTCATGTGGGTGCTGGGAATTGAACCTAGGTCATCTGGAAGAGCAGCTACTGCTCTTAACCACTGAGCCATTGCTCCAGCCCGGTTTTTAGAGTTTCAAGGAATATTCCAAAAATTTCTAGAATATACCAGAAATGTGAGAAAGCAGGTAAATGCTCACACCTCTTCTCTTTATAAAGGGTACCAAAATAATCTTTGACTAAGTAATTTACATCATTTTAAACACATTCTGGAAAGTTTGCAGTGATAAAAGGCAGTTCTTCATTTACATTCCCAGCGTCAACTCCACGTCTTCTCTCTTCAAGGAACAAACAGGCATGGGAAAAAAGAAGCAAACCAGAATAACAGCAAATAACCAAAGAAACACAGATACAAAAATAAAATCCATAATAACACAAAATTGGAAACCGTAACACCCAAGCAAAAGACCAGTGAGATTAAAATAAAATGCTCAAAGTAGCATGAGACAAAAAAAAAAAATAGTAAGAACACTGTCAGTTTTGGATTGGCTGTCCTTTGCTGATCAGGTGTCCTGCCCTTAAGTGCGGTTTTTATACTCGGTGGCTCCTTTGTAGAAAACTCATTTTCCCTTTGCAAGTGGTTGTCAGTTGGAGATAGCTTCTAGGTTAGGGATGGGAGACCATGTTCACCCTCCCTCTCCGCACTGGGACCTTATCTGTCTTGGACAGGTGCAGACTCTGGGTGCTGCCGTGATCTCTGTGAGCTGGCATGTGCGTCAGGCCTGCTGTGTCTAGAAGGCCTTGTCTCCCCGGTGTCTTCCATTCCCCATGGCTCTTACAGTCAGTCTTTCTGCCTCCTCTTTCACAGCTCTCTGAACCCCGAGGGAGGGGTGTGACGAAGACATCCCATTGTCCAGTTGTAGGCTTCTGAATTAGTTCCCATCTACTGCAAGAGGAAGCTTCTAATAATGGCTGAGACACTGATCTCTGTATAGCAGAATGTTGTTAGGAATCATTTTGTTGCTATGTTACTTTAGCAGTTTGGCTTCCCTATAGGCCCATGGCCTATTTGGTATTAGGCTCTTGGCCACCTAAACAGTGTCAGGCATAGGTTCCAGCTCAGGGAGTTGGTCTTCAATCCAATCCAATAGTGGTTGGTTATGTCCACAATGTTGTGCTACTATTGCATAGCATTTTATGCAGACAGGCCACTATTCCCATCAACTAAATGGTACCCATTCCTGGCACTGGAAGTTTGATTGGTGACGAAAGATGTTAGTTGGGGCACTCCATTTAGATTTCCCTACACATAAATAAGTAAATAAATTTCTTTTGAGTAGCTTCTACAGAAGTAGGTTTCTACATGACTCTTCAAATGGCTCTTAATGTTAGCTATCCTCTCTTAACATTCCATCCTTTATCCCACTCATCCCTCCACATTTAATCCTTTTGTTTCAGAACTCTCCCCCAAATGCCTCTCCATAACCATATATCCTGGTTCTATTTTGGTAGAGTTGTGCAGGGAACTGACTATAGGTTTATTTGCTTTCTTCAATATATAGCCGTCCAGTTTGACCAGCACCATTCGTCGAAGATGCTGTCTTTCTTCAGTGGGTATTTTTTTGCATTTTTGCCAAGAATTCGGTGTCCATAGGTATTCAGACTTACGTCTGGGTCTTCAAGTTGATTTTGTTGATCAGTTGCGAAAATTGTGTTTTCAGTTTCTGTGAAGAATTGTGTTAGGATTTTAATGGGGATTACATTGAATCTGTAGATTGCTTTTGGTAGGGTGGCCATTTTCACTGTATTTTTTTTTTTTTTTTTGGTTTTTCGAGATATTGTTTTGGAGGCTCTCCTGGAACTCGCTTTGTAGACCAGGATGGCCTCGAACTCACAGAGATCCACCATTTTCACTGTATTAATGAATGTTGCAGTTTCTCCGTCGTCTGATATCTTCTTTGACTTCTCTCTTTAATGTCTTAAAATTTTTATTATACAAGACTTCCACTTGTATGGTTAGAGTTATTGCAAGGTAATTCATTTATGTATTTATTTTTTGAGGCTGTTGTGAGGGTGCTGTTTCCCTGATTTCTTGCTCAGTCTGTTATTTGTGTATGGGAATGCTTCTGATTTTTGTGTGTCCATTTTGTATCCTGCTAGTTTGCTGAAAGTGTTAATCAGCTGTAGAAGTTTCCTGGTAGTTTTCAGGGTCATTTGCACGTAAAATCGTAGCATTGGCAAATAAAGATACTATGACTTCTTCTTCTCCCATTTGTGTCCCTCGATCTCCTTCAGCTGTCTAATGGCTCCAGCTAGGACTTCAAGTACTGTCTTGTAGAAGTGTGGAGAGTGGACAGCCTGCTCTTGTCCCTGATTTTAGTGGGAATACTTTGAGTTTCTCTCCATTTAAGTTGATGATGACTGTGGGTTTACTATCAATTGCTCTTATTGTATGTCTTTGTATCCTCACTCTCTGCAGGGCTTTTACCATGAAGGGATGTTGGGGCTTTGTCAAAGGCCTTTCCATCTAATGAGATGGTCATGTGGTTTTTGCCTTTCAGTCTGTTTATATGTTGGATTTTATTTTGATTTACACGTGTTTAGTCATCCCTGCGTCCCTGGGATGAAGCCTAGTCGCTAATTGTGAATGATCTTCTCTGAAAGTCTGGTAGAATTCTGGCCCTGGGCTTTTTTTGATTGATGGACTTTTAATGACTACTTCTGTTTCACTAGGCGTTATAGATCTGTTTAAATTGCTTATCTGTTCTTGATTTAACGTTGGTAGGTGGTCTGTATTGAGAAAATTATCCATTTCTTTTAGACTTTACAATTATGTGAGGTTCAGATTTTTGAAGTAAGAATTTAAAATTCCCTGGATTTCCTCAGCGTCTGTTATTATGACCCTTTTAGTCTCTAATTTTGTTAATTTGGATCTTCTCTCTCCATATTTTAATTTGACAAAGGGTTTATCATTACTGAGTTTTCACACCAAGTAACTCTTCCTTTCATTGAAACTTTGTATTTGTTTTTAATTGGATGATTTCAGCTCTGAGTAGACTATTTCTTGATGTCTTTTTTGGGTGTTATTTCTTCTTTCTGTTGTAGAGTTTTCTAAGTTGCTACTAATTTGCTAATATGAGATCTTTCCCATTTTTTTTAGGAAGGCACTTAGTGTTATGCAACTTGCCTCTTAGGACTGCCTTGATTATATCCCGTAGTTTTGTATATGTTGTGTTTTCATTTTCATTCAATTCTTGAACGTTTTAGGTTTCTTATTTCTGTCTTGATCCATTTTTCAGTAGTGAGCTGTACAGTTTCCATGAGTTTGTATGCTTTTGTTTTTGTTTTTGTTTTTTTTAAAGATTATTATGTATTCAGTGTTCTGCCTGCATGTATGCCTTCAGGCCAGAAGAGGGCACCACCAGGATCTCATTACGGATGGCTGTGAGCCACCATGTGACTGCTGGGAACTCAGGTTCTCTGGAAGAGCTGCCAGTGCTCTTAACCCCTGAGCCATCTCTCCAGTCCCCCTACTTTGTGTTGTTGATAGCCATTTTTAGTCTGTGGTAGTCAATAGGACGCAGGGTGTTATTTCAGTTTTCTTGCATCTGTTGAGACTTGCTTTGTGTTCAAGTGTGTGTTCAGTTTTGGAGAACGTCCCATGGGCTGCTGAGAAGAAAACATTTTCTTTGGTATGGGGTGGAATGTTTTATAACTATCTGCTAAGTGTATTTCGTTTATGATGTTATTAAGCTCCATCATTTCTGTTTAGTTTATGTCTGGATGACCTATTGGCGAGAAGTGGGTATCGAAGTTACTCACTGTCAGTGTGTGATTTTAGCTGAGGTAGTGTTTCCTTTATGAAGTTGAATGTCCCTGTGTTTGGTGCATATATGTTTAGAATTAAAATGTTCTCTTGGTGGATTTTTCCTTAGCTCTTCTGATTGGTTTGTTTTGAAGTCTTATTTTGTCAGATACTAAAATGGCGATACCTGCTTATTTCTTGGTTCCATTTGTGTAAAGTATACTTTCTATCCTTTTCCCCTGAAGTAATGTCTGTCCCTGATATTAAGGTATATTTCTTGGATGCAGCAGAAGGGTGAATCCTGTTTTCTAATCTGTTCTTTTAGTCTGTGTCTTTTTATTGGGGGAGATTGAGTTATTAATATTGAGAATTATCAATGAGCAGTGCTTATAGATATCTTTTACTTTGTTGTTATGGTGTGGAATTTTCCTCCCTTCATTTGATTTACTGATTTGGGATTATGTATTCCTTCTGTTTTCTTGGGTGTGGTTAGCTTCTTCAGATTGAAGTTTTTCTTGTGACACCTTCTATAGAGATGAATTGGTAGATAGTGACTGTTTAAATTTGGTTTTATTATAGAGTTTTTCTTTCTCCATATATTGTGATCGAATGTTTTGCTAGATGGAATAATCTGGGCTGGCATCTGTGGTCTCTTAGAGTTTGTAGAACACCATCCCTCAGGCCTTTCTGACTTTTAGAGTTTCCATTGAGATCAGATGTTATTCTAATGGATCTGCTTTTATATGTTACTTGAAATTGCAGCTTTTCTTGTTTTCTCTCGCAGCTTTTACTATTCTGTGTTTATATTGTATGTATGGCATTTTGATTATTATGTGTTGGGGAATGTTATTTTAAGGTGTGTTACTTTTATGTTGCATTTGTTTAGTTCTGTGAAGCTGTGTTACTGCACATGTCTAAAACACCTGGTGGTCTAATACAGCGCTAAATGGTCAATATTGAAGCAGGATCGAGGAATGGGCGGGGCTGTCAGGCAGACAGGATAAATATGAGGAGAAATCTGGGAGAAAAAGGGATCTGGGAATGAGAGAGGAAGGAGGAGGACTTCAAGGGCTAGCCACCCAGCCACCCAGCCACCCAGCTACGCAGCCAGACACAGAATAAGAAGGAAAGAAAAGGTACTCAGGAGTAGAGAATGATAGCTGGAATAATATAATAAAAAAGCTGGCAAGAAACAAGCCAAGCTGAGGCCAGGCACTCCTAACTAAGAATAAGCCTGGGCATGTGATTTATTTGGGAGCTGGGTGGTGGGCTCCTCGAAAAGCAAGAGTAAAACATCACACAACAGTTCTGTGTCATTCGGAATTTCTTTTCTGGTCCTGTCACTTCATGTTCTGTATGCTTCTTGTACTTTGATAGGGACTCCTTTCTTTAGGTTAGGGGAATTTCCTTTTAGGATTTTGTTGACAATATTTCTGTGCCTTTGATATGGTTTTCTTCTTCTCCTTCTTTTTTTTTTTGATGAATTCAGCAAAAATTTTATTTCCAAGTTCTTCAAAGATTATTTTAAACACAAATTTTCCTTCTAAAAGTATCCCCAATTAAATCAAAGGCACATCACCCCAATAACATACTTGTGACATTAATTGACTTTCTGATTTTTCCGTTTGAGTTTCCTTTATGATTCTGTTTGCACTTAAGTCTTGAACGGGTTTACTCATTTCCTTCAACTGTTGGTGTTTTCACAGACTTCACTAAGGGATTCACTCATGTCCTCTTTAGGGTCCTGAATCACGTTCGTGATTGCTCTTTGAAGTCCTTGCCTTGCTTCAGCTGTATCTATCGCCTTCCTCAGCCTGCTGGAGGGGTACTGGGCTCTGTGGAGGGGTCCTGGGCTCTGCTGGAGGGGTCCTGGGCTCTGTGGAGGGGTCCTGGGCTCTGTGGAGGGGTCCTGGGCTCTGCTGGAGGGGTCCTGGGCTCTGTGGAGGGGTCCTGGGCTCTGTGGAGGGGTCCTGGGCTCTGTGGAGGGGTCCTGGGCTCTGCTGGGTGGGTCCTGGGCTCTGCTGGGTGGGTCCTGGACTCTTCTGGGTGGGTCCTGGGCTCTGCTGGGTGGGTCCTGGGCTCTGCTGGGTGGGTCCTGGGCTCTGCTGGGTGGGTCCTGGGCTCTGCTGGGTGGGTCCTGGGCTCTGCTGGGTGGGTCCTGGGCTCTGCTGGAGGGGTCCTGGGCTCTGTGGAGGGGTCCTGGGCTCTGTGGAGGGGTCCTGGGCTCTGTTGGGTGGGTCCTGGGCTCTGCTGGGTGGGTCCTGGGCTCTGCTGGGTGGGTCCTGGGCTCTGCTGGAGGGGTCCTGGGCTCTGCTGGAGGGGTCCTGGGCTCTGCTGGAGGGGTCCTGGGCTCTGCTGGAGGGGTCCTGGGCTCTGCTGGAGGGGTCCTGGGCTCTGCTGGAGGGGTCCTGGGCTCTGTGGAGGGGTCCTGGGCTCTGCTGGAGGGGTACTGGGCTCTGTGGAGGGGTCCTGGGCTCTGCTGGAGGCAACGCTGTCTTGGCCCGTTCATGTTTGTGTCCAAGCGTCTGGGGTTAGGGTGGTTGAGTTGCTGGTAGATGTTGACACCTGGTCTTGTCTTTGTTAAGTAGATGTTGTTCCATCCCTTGGTTTCTGTTGTCCTCTCTGGATCTTAGGAAAGTGTGGCAGCTGTGGGTTCCCTGGTAGGGAGTGCTCCTGCAGGTTGGTGGGTAGCATTATCTTCCCTTCTCCTTTGCTTCTAACAATAATTGGGAAAATATCAAATTATTTTTGCTATTGAAATATGTTAAATTTTCTCCAAGTAAGAATAGAACATACTTATTTTATAATTTATAATATGGTGTGATTCATTGCGGCATATTTAGAATGTACAGGGTTTTCGAAATTCTGGGATTCTTATGTTCTTTTGGCTTAATGTGCGTGCACTGGGCTAAATCCTATAAGGACTGTAACGTGTTATAGATCTGACTTCCAAAAGGTATAGGAATTGACTCAGGATTCTTTTTCAGCCTTAGTTTTCATATTTCTTAAAATAGTACTGAGAACATTTGTACACCCCAAACAGATGCTTGCTCTTGAGAATTTACTGAAGTGACATTAAACAAATACACATTTTAGGACTCCTCGTATGTAAACCGTTTATAATTTTTATTTTTATAGCAGGTTTTCTAGACTTCCTTTACAACCTGTGCATATGTAATTGAAATTAGGGACTTAATATCGTAATGAGTTATGGAATAGATGGTTTATATTTCCTTAACTGCCTTTCTTTAGAGGCTGCAAACTCAAAAGTCACCAGGGATCTTAAGAGAAAATCCCAACTTCACAGGGAGAGCTCAGTGATGGTTCAAGCTGTCAGCCTGGACTGTAAACGTGGGCAGAGTGTTACAGAGCTTGCTATAGCTATAGCAACTGGGGTGATGCTCTGTGCTCTAACAGTGAAGCCTGCCTGAAGATCAGAGTATGGAGCTAGCCAACTAGCTAGCCGCCCTCAGCATAATCCCCCCCCCCCCGGGTTTTTATTGTTAGAACCAATTAGATTTGTGCCACAGCTACTGTGGAATCTGGCTCTTGTTTTGCCACATCGTTATGTGTAACACATGCGTGTGTCCTTTTTCTTTGTCTCGGCCTTTAATGCTGTGGTATCCTATTCAAACTGCAGCTCTGCCACTAGCAGCTGTGGTGGCTCGGTGGCCCCTTCCCTTCCCTCAGGCACCAACTCTTTCAAAGCTACTAAGGAAGCATTTAAATCTCTGTTCCACTAAGGAACTCAAGATTCAAAAGTTGAGGTAGAATCTTGCTTCCCAGAGAGGCTGAATAACAAGCAGCTCACCTAGCTCACCTCCTGGGGTCTCACAAGAGGTCCTCATGCTCTTTCTTGTCCCTCCTCATAAACCCTTCTCCATCTGGCTCCTCCCTACAGCTTCCTGTCAGCTAGTTGCTGACTCAGCCTCTTGACTGCAGGGGAATTTTATTTACTGAAACAATCTTTGCATCATTAAACAATGATGTCCTATAACATACTTGTAAGTATACATGTAGATACTTTGTTTACATGTGTGAAACAGGAAAAAAAGACTTGATTAACTATTACTTTTTTAGGTCTGGTCACAGTGTAAACTTGATAGGATTTAAGGATTAGTAAATCTATAGATTCTGTTGAGTCTTTTACAAACATATGTTCCTTTTCCTTTGGAGCCCCCCCCCCGTTTTTCCCTAATTTGAATTTAAAACACTGTAAAATTTATTTATTTATTGGAGGAGGGGCACATGTGTGGAGAGGACAACTTGTGGGAATTGGTTCTCTCCTTCAACCCCGTGGGTCCCGGGATTGAACCCAGGACATCAGCAGGTACCTTTACCTTTTGAGCCGTTTCATTGGTCCTTGAATTGTTTTCAAGATGAAGGTTTTTCATTTATGTTGCTCATGCTGGTCTTAAAACTCTTGGGGTTAATCGAACTTCTTTTCTAGCCTCCTGAGCAGCTGGGCCTGCTCTGAGATTTCTGGTGTGCTCCACTGTGCTGGGCCTGTTCTGAGATTTCTGGTGTGTTTCACTGTGCTGGGCCTTTTCTGAGATTTCTGGTGTGTTTCACTGTGCTGAGCCTTTTCTGAGATTTCTGGTGTGCTCCACTGTGCTGGGCCTGTTCTGAGATTTCTGGTGTGCTCCACTGTGCTGGGCCTGTTCTGAGATTTCTGGTGTGCTCCACTGTGCTGGGCTTCCTTTGATTCTTTTTTAAAAAGGTATATTTGTGTGTTTGTGTGTGTAGGGGTAGCAGCACACATGTGGAGTCAGAGGAGAGTGCAGGGAGTAAGTTGTCTCCATTTGTGCACTGGGGATTGAACTCAGGTTGTTAGGCTTGGCAGCAAGCACCTTTATCCTCTTAGCCTTCTTACTGGCCTTTTATTTTCAGTGGTATTGAATGTGAATTATAACAGGGCTGATAGTACTAAAATGCTTGTAACACACCTTCCTAATTCAGTTTTTGAAACTGCTGTGCATTGTGAAAAAGTGTAACAGTTGCTGATTTCAACCAAACAAAAATGATTAAAACTGTATCTGAAAGCCAGCGTGGTGGTGCCCACCTTTAATCTACTCAGAAGGGAGAGGTAGGTAGATCTCTGAGTTTGAGGCCAGCCTGGTCTACAGAATGAGTTCTAGGGCTACACAGAGAAACCCTGTCTAGAAAAACCAAAACTAACCAGCCAGCCAGCCAGCCAACATCTTGAAGACTAGTTATTGTAGTGAGGCTTTCAGTGCAATCTCTACTTTAGTATCATGTGAGGTGATGCCTTAAACAGTTTTAATTCTGTTGTAGGCTGATAGAGACGGACAGCAAGTCTTTAAGATCTGTAAATGGATCAAGAAGAAACAGTGGCTCCTCTCTTGTGTCAAGTTCCTCTGCCTCCAGCAACCTCAGTCACCTGGAAGAGGACTCTTGGATTCTTTGGGGAAGAATCGTGAACGAATGGGATGATGTGCGCAAGAAGAAGGAAAAGCAGGTGAAGGTATTCACACTGTTTCCGAAGTTCTTTTTATTATCCCAGACTATCAGGCATGGATTAGTCGGGCATTAGGACAAAACAGGATCTTGTAATTTCTGAGTTATGTTATGAACTGGTTGGCTTTATATGTCTTCATTATCTATGCTTGATAGAAGTTCTAGTTTGTGAGTTGTACAGATCCTGAAAAATTCACAGTTAAAAATTGCTTTTAGAAATTAAACTCTCATTTTGTTAATTTCGGAAGTGAAATCTCAACATTGTGTATCAGTATTTTGCCTTTTCCCTTCAGCGGCCCTTTGAATGTCATGGGTGTGGTGACGTGATATGTAGCTCTGTGTACTCCTGCCAGTCAGGTCCTTAAGGCCTTTAGAGTCCACAATGTCAGTGAAATGGCTATTTATCCATGGTTTTGTAACTCTGGATTATAACTTACCCAAGGGCCAACTCTTAGACTTCTTTAAAACATCTTTCTTCTTTCTTTCTTTCTTCCTTCCTTCCTTCCTTCCTTCCTTCCTTCCTTCCTTCCTTCCTTCCTTCCTTCCATCTTTCTCTCTTTCTTTTACGATTTATTTATTTATAGTGAGTTATTTGTTTGTTTATTTATTGCAAAATGAGTTCTAGGACAGCCATATGCCTATAGGCCAGAAGAGGGCACCAGATCTGCCATGTGGGTGCTGGGAATTGAACTCAAGACCAGCCAGTGCTCTTAACCTCTGAGCCATCTCTCCAACCCCTTCTTTAAAGAATTTCATAGTTTATTATTAAATGAGCTTTATAAATTATAAAGCTGATACATTTTTCCATTCTAACACTCCCCTCCCCAGAATGCTTTGATAGCAAGGTATGTGACATTTGAAAATTTTGTTTTCCTTTGATTTTTAGGAGCTTGTTCGTAAAGGGATACCCCACCACTTCAGAGCAATAGTTTGGCAACTTTTATGTAATGCACAGAGTATGCCCATTAAGGACCAGTATTCAGAACTCTTGAAGATGACTTCACCTTGTGAAAAATTGATCCGAAGAGACATTGCTAGAACTTACCCAGAACACAATTTTTTTAAAGAAAAAGATAGCCTTGGACAGGAGGTTTTATTTAATGTAATGAAGGTAAGCTCTATTTATTCATTTTTTTGAAGTGAAATTAATTTGTCAGAGGTTGAAATTATTTCCATAATGAAGTATGAACTCCCATCATAAATCAGGTTTTTGGGCAGTAGACTTAGTTTTAGCATACTTTCTGCTTTAATTCTGATGCTTCATTGTTGGTAGTGTGGAGAACTAATTAGAAAATTTATCACATTATTTAGCATTAGTTGGCAATAAACTATTCTCGGTGACCATTGCAGGGCTCTTTGTGAGGGTAGATAATTCATACTGTACGAACTTCATGAGCTGGATAATGGCCCAACTTGTTAAGTGTGCGCAGCCCTTTAACATGTATGCTGCTTCTTTAATATTGCATTTTCATAGTTTCTTTCTCTCCCATCTACCTCTGTGAAATGTCAATTTCTTAAGTTACTTGAATTTTGTTGTTTACCTTACCTGTACTGTGTTTGTCTCCTGTCAGATACCTGTCACTTTTCTGAGTATAAATTGCTTTATTTTCTTTCTCCTTAGGAGCTGCCACTTTCTGGTTGGGAAATTGTCAAAAGAAATTTTATGTAATAAACCATTTGCTTTTTAAATATTTATAGAATAACATCTACAACAAGTAAACAAGAGCCTTTCTAAACAAATAAATGGACTTTTAACTGTCTCACCAATTTTAGGTTTTGGAGAAGGAAGATGTAATGTGCACGCTGAGGTATTTTGAATACCATGTTTTACTTTTTAGGCGTACTCCTTGGTGGATCGTGAGGTTGGTTACTGTCAAGGCAGTGCTTTTATAGTTGGACTGTTGCTTATGCAGGTGAGTTAACACGTGTAAGTAGTAACTGTCCACTGTTGAGGAGATGTAGCCGTTCACGGGGTATGAATATTGATGGTCAGTTTAATAAAGAAAACCACTCACAAGAGAAACTGATAACCAGATTGACACTCCGAGAAATACAGTCTCAGCCGCACTCCGAGACTGGACTGGAACCCTGAAAAGAAAGGGAATCCCCTTCCCCTCAGCTCTTTATTTCCTCAAGTAAAGCAGATTTGTGTTACCTACCTCCCTAGACATAATGTACATAGTAATTTACTTTGCACTTTGAAAGTAAAATGACGTATGGTAATTTACCTCTCTTGCCACCAACTGAAATTTCAGCTCTCATACCCCTCCTCCCTCCTCTCTGTGTTCTTCTCCTCCTGTCTTCTTTGGAGATTATATGCTGTATCACTGAGCTGCAGGCCCAGCTCCCTCCCGTGAAAAAATAACTACAAAAGCTTTTTACATAGACTGTGTGTGGCCATGTGTATGTATGTAGGAGTTGATTCTCGTCCACCATATGGACTCCAGGAATGGAACTCAGGCATTGGTCTTGGCAAATGTCTTTACCTGCTGAGCCGTCTCGCCAACTCCCCCACCTTCTGCCTCTTACGTTTTTGAAGACGCATTTTTATTTTTAATTGCGTGCGTGTGTGTGTGTGTGTGTGTGTGTGTGTGTGTGTGTGTGTGTGTGTGTGTGTGTGTGTGTGTGTGTGTATGAGTGGGAGGGTTGTGCACATGCCTGTAGTGCCTGTGGAGGGTATGGTATCTTAACTGCTGAGCCATCTTCCCCCCCTTTATTTCTTAATGTATACAGTTGTATCAAGATATTCTACAAAAGCTTTTTACCTATTTTTAAATTTCACTTGTCAACATTTAGTGGGGAGTAATCTTTTCCCAACCAAGGATGGTAAGAATAAAGTTATAAAATCTTATTTATGTTATTATGTATGTATTTGAAGAAATATATATGAGTGTTATATATCATTTAGCTATAGGCTTGTTCTCTTGTTATACTAAAGTTATGTTACTCAGCTACCTTTTCTGTTCCAGGGATTTGACATTGGCATTGACTGATTTCTCAGAATTATAGGGGCAGAACAATTGAAGCTGGAAAGGGAAATGGCATATACAATCATCTATTTAGCTTTGCTGAATATTTTCTTCTATTTTACTTTTTATGTAGTCTCAGAATTTTTGTCCTGAAAAATGGCTTGATTTGAGTTGTGCAGGCTGAAGTTTGCATCTCAGTCCTGCACTCAGCTGATGAGCTTAGATTAGAATGTTTTTTTTAAAGATTTATTTATTTATTACGAATACAACACCTTGCCTCCATGTACACATCAGAAGAAGGCACCATATCTCGTTACAGATGGTTGTGAGCCACCATGTGGTTACTGGGAATTGAACTCATGACCTCTGGAAGAGCAGTCAGTGCTCTTAACCTCTGAGCCATCTCTCCAGCCCCAGATTAGAATGTTTAACGACCCTGTTTTAGGTAATCTGATTGTAGCGTTATGCAGGCGTAAGCCAGGCATGGTGTTTGGCGCACGGGAGGCAGTACAGTAAGACTTGAGTGGCTTTTGTCCATCTGGAGTAGATGAAAGCAGAGCAGCAATCAAACTCTGTTCCCTGGCGTTTTACTTCTGTTTCCACACTATCTGATTTTTAAAGACTCTGTCAGGGCTCCTCCTTTTACCCCATCCTCTTCTTCATGTTTGTCTTTCACTCAGGTGCCAGGGATAAACCCAAGGCTTCATGCACACTGAACACTTGTGCTTCTCTTGTTACAGCCCTGGCCTCCGTCCCTCCTTTTAGGACACACTGGAGTATAAACAAACCGACTGCTACTTATAGGAACCGCTTGCATTGGTTACTGTAGGATGGTTTTCTGTGCTCGTTAAATCTGGGCTATCATTTACGTAGCATACAAGTAGATATGTTAATGTTGAAGTATGTAGAACCTCCACAAAGTTCTGATCATCCTGATTCATAAATTGGTTGCAACTTGTAGATCTGTTTACTGTTTAAGTCAAATATCATTATCAATCTAGTGATTTTTGCTACAAATCTGTTCCTTTTTCTTTCTCTTTTTCTAACTGCAACCGAGTACCTAGACTCCAGATTCTAGAGAACAGTGTCCTCCTCCTTGAGGAATGAGTCTTGCAGTAACTTACACAGTCTCATGACTGAGTTTCCTGTGAAGCGGCTATGCCACCAAAGTCATCTTTTGCACCCATTGTTTACTGACTGTACAACCTCAGTATAATGGTTTCTGAGTTTCTTGTTTCATGGGACTCCTGCCTTTCTACAAGAGAATATTTTAGTCCTGGAGAAATAGTCACACAAGAAGCAGAAAACAGATTCCATCCCTTGGTGTGGCTGAGGAGCCTGAGACAGTAACTGTCTGCCAGGCTCCCTGAGGACAGGGGTCAGAAGCTAGAGAACTGTCTCGGTGGAAGTGACTAAGGAGTTGGCGCGATGCTCCGCTCAGTCCTGCCCTTTGAAGTGGTGAGGTGTGAGGTGGAAAACAGCAGTTACCTTAAGGTACAGCGTAGTTCAGCTTAAAGACAAGAATCCCGGAGAATGAGGTTGAGCATAGAAGGGTGAGTCTGGAAATAGAGGCAGATGAGGGGACTAAGACACCGTATAGGATCTTATGACTGAGAAGTCAGTGGGGCTTTAGGTCTTGAATTAATAGATTGGTCTCCACAGCACCCCTCTGGCAGTGTTAGCACAGAGGAAGGACATGCAGGTTTGCCTTCTGTCCATGGCTGTGTTAAGCGTGGGGAAAATGTATTTTGCCATTTGCAACTGTTTTCAGTAAGAGATACCGAGAGGTCTTTTGGGGACATCCTCTTAGAATGCATTTACAAGCTGTAAATGAAGTTTAGAAAACTACTATTTTGAGAAAGTTATCTAGCATGTAGGTGCTGTTTCCTAAATATTTTGAATGCCTTCTAAATTACTTTCTTACTGGATATTTCCTAGTGACTTATACTTTAAAAACCCAATTACAGATAATTTTAAAATGTAGAAGTTCTTACGGTATTTACATCGGGTATCATTTCTGTTCAGAATCCCCAAAGCTTTCTAGCTGTTTTAAGGTAAAAGTAAAAAACAACAGAATGGCTTCCAAAGCCTGTGTGCTTGATTTCATTTTTTTCTTCTTCATAATTCCTTTACTCATGACCCCTTTTAAAGGAATGTAAATTTAATCTGATTAATTTTTTTTATTCTCTGCTTGGCATCTAGTAAGTACTTCTTGTGTAGGTTTTACTTTATTCATAGGGATAACTTGACTTGAACTTGGTGGTCTCCTGCTTGCTGGTCAAGCATGCCAGCATTTTAACGTCTGTCTTAGTTACTTTTCTATTGTAGTGAAGAGACACTGTGACCAAGGTGGCTTATCAAAGAAAGCCTTTAAATGAGGACTTGCAGTTTCAGAGAGTGAGCCCATGGCTGTCACGGTGGGGAGTGCGCCATAGGCAGGCAGATAGGCTCTGGAGTAGAGCTTGTTTTGAGAGGGAAGGAAGGAAGTGGGGAGAGATGGAGAGGGTGAGGTGAGGGGGAGGAAAAGAGAGGGGGGAGAGAGAGAAACTGGATCTGGTGTGGGCTTTTGAACCCTAAAAGTCCACCATCAGTGACACACCTCCTCCCAACAAGGCCATACCTAGTCCTTTCCAGATACTCTAACTGGGATCAGGCATTCAAATCTGTGAGCCTGTGGGGCTGTTCTCATTCAGACTCCACAGGGATCTTGTTCCATTTTAGGACCTTTGTACACTCTGACTTCAAGGACTGTTTTCCCCTCAGATGTTCCCTAGTTTCCTTCTCTTGTTTGTTTAAAATTTACTTTATTGAGGTTCCATCCCTGAATCATATAAACAGCAGTTTGTCTCCCCAGCATTCCCTTATTCTAGTTGATTCCATAACATTCGTCACCACTGACATAAATGCGATTTGTCTACATATTATCTATTTATCTCTAGAAAGTTTAAGTTCCTTGAGATTAAAGCTTATATGCTTTTTTGTTGTTGTTCTTGTATTTAAAAAGAGTACAGTATCTAGCTGTACATGATGGTTAGATGATACAAGTTCAATTCAGGGTGGTATGGCCAAAGACGTACGTGTGTGTGTGTGTGTGTGTGTGTGTGTGTGTGTGTGTGTGTGTGTGTTAATTAAGTTAATGAATTAGACAAATTGAGGCAGTTGGTCTCAGAGTTGGCAAGAGTCTTATCTGATTCTCAGAATGGAAGTCTAGAACATCCTGAATTATTCCATTGCACTTTATACGTTACTCTGTAGCCAGTGAAAACACTATTCATAGGGCTGAATTCAGTGTCCAGAATCCATGTACACGAGCTTAGTGTGCTGGTGTGGGTGTGCAATCCCAGTGCTAGGAAGGGTTCCTCAGTGAGCCCATGACACTGAGACCCTGCCTCAAGAAAACAGGAATGGCACTGAGGGTTGATCTCCTTGTACACACAAACACATATACATTAAAGAGAAAAGAAGAAACAGCATTGGTTATTGAGTGGTATTCTGTTTACAGTATGATTTGGCTTATTCATGTATCATGAAATGTTGAACTGTGTTAGTTTTCTTCTTCTTAAAATAGATGCCGGAAGAGGAGGCTTTTTGTGTGTTTGTTAAATTAATGCAAGACTATAGACTTCGTGAACTCTTCAAACCAAGCATGGCAGAATTGGGCCTTTGCATGTACCAGTTTGAATGCATGATACAGGTAAAAGTTCACTTCGTCTCTTCTGCCCCCGCTTCTGAATGTCAGCTTCACAAATTTTGTGTCAGAGTCGTAGAAGCGAGTGCTGGAGAGATGGCTCAGTGGTTAAAAGCCCCTTTGCTGCTCTTGTAGAGAGCCTGGATCAGCTTCCAGCACCTGCATGGTGGCTCACAACCGTCTGTAACTCCTGCTCTAGGGGATCCGTGCCCCCTTCTGGTCTATATGGGCAGCAGGCACACACAGTGCATATAGATCCATGCTGGCAAAATGCTTAAACCCATAAAGTAAAAAGGCAGAGTGGCAGTTGGAAAAGCAGCGAGTGTTTTAATCCCATGATGGCTTGTTGGTCATGCTTTAAAGGCTCCTTATGCAGACTTTAAGCATTGGCCTCAGACATGCTGTACCTTAGGCCCTGCTGCTTCTGTCTGCTGTTGGCTGTTCTGTTAAGGGCTCAGTGCTCGTGTGGAATCTCAGTTCTCTGGCCGCCGAGACTGTCCATGCCGTTGTTCACTCCTTCCCTCCTTTCTCTTTGAATCTTGTTCCCACCCCATCTGATGATTTTTTTTTGCATGCTTCCATGTGACCAGCCTCAGGTTCAGATTGTTTAGAAGCCTACGCATAAAGGTGGAGAGAAGGGGAAGACTGGAATCAGAGTCAAGAGCAAATCAGTTAGTGTTTGTCTTTTTTAAGGCAGGGTCTCACTGTGTAGCCTTGGCTGGCCTAGAACCTGCTATGTAGACCATACTGGCCACAAACTCACAGAGATCTGCCTGCTTTTGCCTCCTGAGTGCTGGGACTAAAGCTGTGTGACATCACACCTGTTGGAAACTTCTTGAAAAATTTTACTTTTCTGGCTTTAATTTTTTTAAAATTTAATTTATAAATAAATAACCTTACTGTACTATCCATCCTTTAATAGCAAGGTAGTAGTATTTGCCTTGATTTACATTCCAGTTAGAGGGGAAGATTCCTAGAATATGCATCAGCATTTTGGCTGGCATGAGAAGCAGTTTTCAGAGTTACCTTTCTCTGGAATATGAAATCCCGTGTTGTATAAAGAGTAGGATATAAAAATGTTTTTACATTTTAACAAAATCAGAATATATCATGTGATACTTTTTCCCTCTTGAAATAGTTTTCTTTGTTGATACAAACTTTAAACTCTTGGTGCTGTGAGGTAAAGGTGGATTGACTGATAGTATGTGGTACTTGAAAGTTTTTGGCATGGCATTTCTTTTATTTAGAAAATTTTAAGATATATTATAACTAATTAAAAATGTAGACACTATTGGACAACTATACTCATCAACAAAGCAAAAGAAATAAACACTGTATTACTTTGCTGTTCAACACTGGTTGGATGATATTTGATTTAAGTTTAATTTGTCTGTGATTTAGTTTTCCTTATTAGTGAATCAAATCAAAGATATACCTGAAGTTCCAACTCCAGGTTACTTCTTTGCCCTTTGCTGTTAACGAAAGAGTTTCAATTTCTGTATTTGAGTTTCTCTGTTATTCTGGTTCTTGTTTGTGTTGCTGTAGGCTTACCTACGAATGCTCCAGCTGAATTCCTTAATTTTATTTAACTAACTCTTCTCTCTTTCTTAGGAGCATCTTCCAGAGCTCTTTGTCCATTTCCAGTCTCAGAGTTTCCACACATCGATGTATGCTTCTTCCTGGTTTCTGACTATCTTCCTTACGACCTTCCCACTACCCATTGCAACGAGGATATTCGACATCTTTATGTCTGAGGTAAGCTAACGAGAAGACTAGGAATAAAAACAGAATAGAGGAGTCGTCGTGTTACTACGCGCCGGGCGATGTAAGAAGCAACGAGAGAGTTGGCTCTGGGTCCCCCAGCACTGCTTCCTTGAGTTAACCCCGTTTAACCCTCATAACAGCCGCCATGTTAGAGTCTGAATTTGTTAGATGATGGGTGAGGAGGCTGAGACTTGCAGGGAGTTTGAGTAGCCTGACTATAGATATTACAGGTACTTGGAACTGTATCTAAGATTCACATATATACAGTTAAGTGTAGCACGAATTCTAGTTGGTCTTAATAGTAAAAACTCGTGGTCAGCTATCGGGTGAAGGCAGAAGGATCAGAGAGGCAGAGTGGAAAGCCACTTGAGAGTTCTCACCTCTTCCAGTGCTCAGACCAGAGGGTGATCCTGTCCTCAGACTGCATCCTCAGACTGCCTGCAGTGAGCTCCTGTCTCCTCCCACCTTACATTCCTCTCTCTGCCCAGCCATACCCTTCCTATCTCCACCTCCATAGTGCCGGGATTAAAGGTGTGTGACTCCCAAATACTGGGATTAAAAGTGTGAGCCACCGACACTTGGCTTTGTTTCTCTTTTAGATTGGATCAATTTTGTGTAGCCCAGGGTGGCCTGGGACTAACAGAGATTTGTCTGCTTCTGCCTCCCAAGTGCTGGGATTAAAGGTGTGCACCACCCCTGCCTGGCCTCTATGGCCAACTAGTGGCTAGCTCTGCACTCTGATCTCCAGGCAAGCTTTATTTGTTAGATCATAAGCAAAATAGCACCACAATTAAGTTTTGGACCTTCTCTCCAAATTCATGCTCTTTAAAACCTTTGAATAATACAGTGAGAGTAGATGAGAAGTAAATTCTCCCACAGTTAATACTGTTACAGTGCATCTGTCTCCCAAATAATAAGGCACATAATTCCTATGTTAAGCTGCCTCTCTTCTGCAAAGGCTTTCCTATTGTACTTTAGCTATAGGTGACATGGTAGTGAGTGTTCCTTGTCTTCTGTTGTCTGAGCGTGGTATTGTTAGTTACTTCTTGGAAGGATCAATTTATGTGATTTATCTGATTTAGTTGGGACTGAAGTTGGCAAACAACAGTTGACTCACTAATCTCTGTGGTTTCCATATCAAAGTTGTCCTCTCATTTGTTTTCTTGGAACCCTGCCCCGCCTATTAGTGCATGTGCTAGTGTCCACAGTAGGGCTACAAGGTAGGGGAACCCTGCCCTGCCTATTAGTGCATGTGTTAGTGTCCACAGTAGGGTTACAAGGTAGGCGTGAGTAGTTGAGAAGGGGACAGGTGGGTCATCAAGTCTAAAATGCTTGTTTTCGGACTCTACAGAAAATGTTTGCCAGTTCCTAGTTTAGATCCTTAAATTCTTTTTTTTTTTTTTCAAGTGTGAAAAACCCCAGCTTTATTATGTAACCTGTAAACAACCCCCGAACCTCATTACCCTCCTCACAAAGGCACTTCACAGACTCTGGCCAGAGGAAGCCCTCTGACCCTTAGAGGTCCTGGGCAGCAGGGCACAGGGCCTGGTTGAGGCAGGCCTGGCACTGAGGATGGACAGGAAGGCAGATCTGTTGGCCAAAGCCCACGAGCAGTCCATTGATCTCACTCCACAGCCCCCTGGGTAGCCACTCCTCCAAGGCTGTTCGGGTCTCCTCTGGGGTCTTGGTCACCTTCTTGGTCCACCTCAGTCGGTTGGTGATTCTGTGCACATGCGTGTCCACTGCTATGCCTGATATGGTCCCCCAGGCCACAGCCATAGCCAAGTGTGCCATCTTGGGCCCAACACCTGGCAAGGCTACCAGCTCTGCCACGGAAGCAGGGATGTCCCCTTCATAGTGCTGCTACAGTATGGCGGTTGTCTGCTTGATGAACTTTACTTTGTTCCTCCAGAAGCCCACAGGGTAGATGAGCCTGCCCAGCATGTCATCATCTGTCTGTAGGATGCTTTCCACAGTCAAGCCCCGTGCCCGTAGGCGCTGCATAGCACCCGCTGTCACCTGGTCTTTGGTCTGGCTGGAGAGCATCAGCAAAAATATGGAACGCTTCATGAATTTGCGTGTCATCCTTGCGCAGGGGCCATGCTAATCTTCTCTGTATCGTTCCAATTTTAGTATATGTGCTGCCGAAGCGAGCACAGATCCTTAAATTCTTACCTTGGTATTGTTTTGAATGATTAGTTTTGATTGAGGGAAGCATAAACAAATGTGACTTTATTTTACTTGTTTCACCAGGGTTTAGAAATTGTGTTTCGAGTGGGGTTAGCACTTCTTCAAATGAATCAGGCAGAATTAATGCAACTTGACATGGAAGGGATGTTACAGGTAAGTCAGTTCATGGTTTCTTGTGTGTTTCTAGACATGCCATTAGCAAATCATATATAGTAATCATTCTGCCTTTCATGTGTTATCTCTTAGCATTTTCAGAAGGTCATTCCACATCAGTTTGATGGTGGCCCAGACAAATTAATCCAGTCAGCTTACCAAGTCAAATATAACTCAAAAAAAATGAAAAAGTAAGTATTTTGTGTGACCTCTTGTAGTTAAGGAGCTTGTTGTGCATATGATAGGTCAGTGGGCATGGGAAGCACTCTTGTGAAAAGTACCTCCTTAGGCTATCAGGTTTTTACCTGATTTGTTGGTGTTAGCTTCAGTACAGCAAAGGTTATGTTAGACTGTCGTCCTGCTTTTATAGTGATACACAGGACCACTGCACGCTACTTTTAAAATCCCCCCTGTGTATGGGTGTAAGTGTGCTGTCACCTTTAATATCCTCTGTTACTACTCTTGGTGCTAGGCAGTGAGCAGAGGGACTGAGAATGCTAAGTACATACTCTACCACCTAGTTGAACGCCTCGCCTCCCATGCTGTCTACTGAAAAACAAAGTTAGTGATTCTAGCCACTGACACTGCTTTCTTCTCAGCCCCTTCCCGGGTTACTTAAGAGCTGTGTAGTCAGCGGCACTGAGCAAGATTGGGCTTCTCATCTTTTAATTGCTATTTCCTGGAGAAGCATTGTGTGGCACAGTTTTCATTAACAAAAAGTTCAAGATAGGCAATGTCAGTTTTTGGCTTAATTTTTTTCTCTCTTAAAAATAAAGTTAGGGCCAGGCGGTGGTGGCACATGCCTTTAATCCTAGCACTCGGGAGGCAGAAGCAGGCAGATCTCTGTGAGTTTGAGGCTGGGGCTGGACCGATAGCCTCCAAAACAATACAGAGAAACCCTGTCTCGGAAAACCAAATAAAGAAAGAAAGAAAGAAAGAAAGAAAGAAAGAAAGAAAGAAAGAAAGTTAGTATGTTAATTAAGACTTACAGCTATTACAATTCTTTTCTAGCTTCCAATACTTAAATGAGTCCAGCCGAAGGTCACTGGGGCTTCTGTGGTGTAAAATGTTTCTAAACTGTAGCAATGCTTACAGTAGCCGGAGCGTGTTCCTTTGAGCCAGGGTCTCCCTTTGTATCTCAGGCTGGCCTTGAACTCTGGTAGTCCATCCTAACCTCCCACATAACAGGGTTAAATGTGTCACCTTGTCTGGCTTACTCTCTTTTTCTCAATACATTTTTTGTTCCTTTGTAATATCAATTCTGAGCACAAGGTGTTTCCATTTCCTCTGGGTCCTTGCTGTATTAACTATTCCTTCCGTGTTTTATCTCTAACCTCTATTTAGTGTCTTACTACATTTATTCACTCTGTGTGTTTGCACTCACAAACAGGGCATCTCACCAGCCCTCTCTCTCTCTTACTTGTGACATGGTCTCACGGTGTAGCCCACTGTTCCGCTTGTTCCTCACGGGGTCTGGGATCACAGGTGTGTACCACCACATCTGGCCTTAAGCTCTGTTTCATTTTCTTGCTCTACGAAGGTCAGTTTGCACTGAGTTTTGACTTAAAAGTACTATAACAAAACAAATAGAGCATTCCATCTTGCTTTTTATGAAGCTTAACTCTAAAGGAATGAATAGTTTGTAGTCATTAGCTTAGCTTTATATCACACTCTCCAAAAAATTATTTATTTATTTATTTATTTATTTCTAGTGTATACAGTGTTCTGGCTGCATGTATCCCTACAGGTCAGGAGAGGGCACCAGATCTCATTATGGATGGTTGTGAGCCACCATGTGGTTACTGGGAATTAAACTCAGGACCCCTGGAAGAGCAGCCAGTGCTCTTAACCTCTGAGCCATCTCTCCAGCCTTCATATCATATTTTAACTATCTTTTTCCCAACTAGGAACATATTTAAATATACAGAAAAATAGATTATACTGACAAATATCCATATTTTGTATCTAGCTTTAGCAATTGTTAATACTTTGCCATATTTATTTTCCTTAGAAATTGTAAAAGCAAAGTACTGTAAAGTCGTATTCCCTGATATCTCGTGTCCATTGGTATAAAACAAAGCCATCTGCTTCCTTTGCTGTATGACTTTCACAGCTTAACAATGATGTCATATGTGCAGAGTGTGTGACAGGATGTTTTTGCCATGGATTGCATCTCTTGCAATGGTCATACATTTACCCCTGTCCTGACCTTTCCTCCCCTGCCCATTCGACTGTTCTGTTAGTTTTTCCTCATATAAATTGTTTCAAGTTACACCTTGAGGAAAAGTAAAGAAATTGTGTTTTATGTTGATATGTCCTTCTAAATTAAATAATTTACTTTTGAGTGAGAATATACCTTTAACTTTCTCTTTTTAGACTTGAAAAAGAATACACTACAATAAAGACAAAAGAAATGGAAGAGCAAGTTGAAATTAAAGTAAGCATTTCGGTGTTTTTAAAGGTTGCTGCAGATAACATTTAAGTCAGGAATTTGATAGTAGGTGTTAGGATAAAATCTGTGTCTACTGGCGTCTTCATGTCGTTGAAAGCAGCCCAGCGTGACTGAAGCTGCTGCTCCTCGCGTGTGAGAAGAAACAGTTCTCTCTTTCCCTTGTTCCTCTTTAGGAGAAAACAGACCCATGGAAATTGCATTCTGCTTAAACATAATTGTAAAACTTGCAGAGAAGGTAGTTACGTGCTAGACTCTAGAGCAGAGTCCTCTGAGGCAGACTCCATAGGACAAGTCATTTATGAACTAATTGTCCTGCTGGGGCATGGCAGGTTCCCTTGGCCAGTGCAAATTTTTCTTTAAGCAAAATTTATACTTTTGAATTACCCTCAGGAAAGCAGGTAGATTTTCAATTTGGAGGATGAATAAATATATTCTTTGTCCTCTGAAATTTTTATTTGTACCTCCTGTAAGCCAAGAAATTCCTTTTAAATTTAGAAAGTACTAGCTTCTGTAATAATGTAGATAAGATGGTACATATCTAGTACAGTGGGTTAACCTGTGCCAGTAGACAAAAGAAGTTTGGCATCTGTAGATCAGTATAACTGTTAATATCTGTACAATGCCAGCTCAGTACAGTAAACTCAGATACATTTTCCCAAAGTTTCAAAAAAACCTAGAACCTCTGGCCCTACTGCCTCCATCTCCCAAGTGTAGAGACTGTAGGCATTGGCCCCCAGGCCTGACAAAGCCAGACAGTCCTCCCCCTTACTGTACTTGTTCCTGTTTTTGTTGATGAAGAAGTGAAAACAGGTTTCAAGCCAGGCAGGCCTGATGGCACACACCTGTAATTCCAGCTACTCAGAAGCTTGGAGCAGGGAAGCTGCAAGTTCAAGGCCTGTCTGGGCTACAAAGTGAGTCCAAGACCAGTGTGGACAATTTAGTGACCACTTATCTCAAAATAAAAGCCAAAAAACACAGACGGAAGCTATAGCTCAAGTCTGTGGTGGTGTAAGCATCCTAGAATTTCTTTTTTTTTTTAAATTTATTTATTATATACATAGTATTCTACCTGAATATATACCTATAGGCCAGAAGAGGGCACCAGATCTCATTATAGATGATTGTGAGCCATCATGTGGTTGCTGGGAATTGAACTCAGGACCTCTGGAAGAACAGTCAGTGCTCTTAACCTCTGAGTCATCTCTCCAGCCCAACGTCCTAAAATTTCTAAGGCAACACCCAGTACTACAGGAGGCAGCAAGGGAAGTAACAAAACAAAGGAAGGGCCAAATGTTTAAAATTAAAAAAAAAAAAAAGAAAAGAAAAGAAGAAAGAATGAATAACAACAAACTAAGGTTGGAGTTGCCAAGAAATAAGTAGGAAACATTTCTCTTCACACTGTTATGTTTCTTCAGCTCTTAACTCACTGTGTTTTAGACGACAGAGCAAGAAAACCCCACTCTCTTTGTAGTGACTAAGACTTGTTCCAGGCTGTGAGCCATGTAATAAGATGTAAGAGTTCAGTTTATTTTCCCAAACTGAGGCTTTTGTGTATCATATAAACTGTACTTAAGTCTTAATGGAGAAGTAGCAGATTGAACTGGTGGAAGAGAAGACATTTCTAGAGGAGTCACAGGAAGTTAGGATTGAAAACTGGGCTGAGCTCTGAAGAAATTAATAAAAAGTGGTAACGGGTTTGAAGTGTGAGAGCTGGCCAAATGGAAAGACAGCATGGATTAAACAGAGACAAATGGTGGGGTAAGGTGGGTAAGAGCACTTGCTGCATAAGCATGGAGGTCTGAGTTTGAATCTCCAGCAAGCACCCTTGTAAAAATTGGACAAGGCTATGTGTACCTACAACCCAACCCCAGTGCTGTGGAGGGAAAAGTCAGTCCTGCTGACTGTGAGCTTCCCTTCAGGTCCAGTGAAAGGTCTTGTCTCAGGGGAATAAGTCAGAGTGGGAGAGCAGGGCACCATGCATCCTGCATGTGCAAATGGGTGTGCACACTTGGAAATACATCGCAGACACACACACACACACACACACACACACACAATTCAGGAGCAATTTTATGGGATTAATAAATTATATTGATCGAATATATAAAGAGATAAGTTGCAAAGTAGAATTTAACACTTAATAGTAACTTGATAAGTGTCAGGGAGTCTGGCATTTAACAATGACATAAATCTACTTTATTTATTTATTTTGCTTTTATAAGACGGGGTTTCTCTGTGTAACAGCCCTGGCTGTCCTGGAACTTGCTCTGTAGACCAATTTGACATTTACTCTATGAACATGCATATTTGAAGTTTATTCTTTGTTCAACTAATATTTGAATAGGAGACAAGGGTTGTTAGAATAAGATTATAAAGTAGGCTGTAGAGATGGCTTCGCTGTTAAGTGCACTGACTGCTCTTCCAGAGGACCAGGGTTAAGTTCCAGCATCCACATGGTAGCTCACAGCTTCAATAATTCCATTTCCAAGAGGGTGTAGCACCCTATTCTGAACTCGTTGGGCACTGCACACATGCGGTGGCTGTGTCTGTATACACATTCGGACAAAACCCTCATACACATAAAATTAAGATAATAAATCTTTAAAAATATAAGCCATTATAAATGGAGAAAACAGAGGCTGTTTGTGTATCACATGTAAGTTTAAAGTTTAATCACCACTGGCATGACAAATGGGATCGTTGTCCTTTGCCATGTATTTCTATGCTAAGTCTTTGATAGTTCAACATAGGATAATATAGCGGTTCTCCACAGTCATTTCTCATTATTCCTTTTTATTTCATATGTCCGTTGGTGTTTTGCTTGCATGCATGTCTGTGTGAGGGTGTTGACAGTTGTGAGCTGCCATGTGGGTGCTGGGAATTGAGCCAGGTCCCCTGGAGAGCAGTCAGTGCTCACAGCCTCGGAGCCACCTCTCCAGCCCGTCGTTTCTTACTATAAAAGGTAGTAAGTGCATTACCAACACTGTGACTTAGGGATCTTCCTTTTTTCCTTTTTTCTTTCTCTCTCAGGATCGTTTGCAAACAAACATTTTTTTCTTTTTCTTGGCAGAGGTTACGCACAGAAAATCGGCTTTTAAAACAGCGGATTGAAACATTAGAAAAAGTAAGTAAAATGACTATTGCAAGTTTCTTTTCTTTTTCTTTTTTTTTTGAGACAGGGTTTCTCTTTTTAACAGCTCTAGCTGTCCTGGAACTTGTACTATGGACCAGGCTGGCCTTGAACTCACAAAAATCCACCTATCTCTACCTCCGGAGTGCTGGGATTAAAGGCGTGTGCCACCACCGCCCAATGAGTGCTTGTTGTTTAAATATAACAAATCTAAAAAGAATTTGGCGTGTACGTCACCTATGATGCGGTGCTGGCCTCGTCTTCCCTAGCTTACTGTGCTTGCTAGTCATTGATAAGGAACATCCATGATAAGGCTTAACTGAAGTTATTAGAGTAATATACTGATGTCATTTTCTTTTGTTTTTTCATAGAACCTCTAAAAAGTATGACTTAGTTGGGAATACATTCTGACAGAATGTTTTAAAGATGAATTTCAATGTTCCCTGAGTTTTAAGCTGTATGTTGAACATGGCAGTTGCTTTGCTTTTATAATTTATTTCACTTTATTTTATGTGTATTGGTGTGAGGGTGTCAGATCCCCTGGAACTGGAGCTGTAGACAGCCGTGAGCTGCCATGTGGGTGCTGGGACTTGGACCCGGGTGCTCTGGAAGACCCAGTGCTCAACCACTGTGCCCCCTCTCCAGCCCTGGCAGTTGCTTTATATTTAATCAAAGTGACTGGCTCCCCATTTTAAAAATCTGTTTTCATGTTGATTTTTAACACTAGGTAGTTTTATACCTTATGGTTGTTAGCCTTGTGTTGATATCTGCTCGTTAGGTTTTCCTTCCTGTTTCATGTAAAATAGCAAGCAAGAAATTTTCATACTTTTCTTATTGTGCTTTTGATAGAATGTTTTGTAGTTGTGTTTTTTTTAACATTTATTATGTTTATTATTATGTGCATTTATTCTGACCTGCATGTATGCCTGTGGGCCAGAAGAGGGCACCAAATCTAATTATAGATGGTTGTGAGCCACCTTGTGGTTGGTAGGAATTGAACTCAGATCCTCTGGAAGAGGAGCCAGTGCTCTTAACCTCTGTGCCATCTCTCCAGCCCCTGTAGTTGTGTTTTTAAGAATGAATTGACTAATACAGTTTAAGAGTCTTCTTGAGCTAGGCTTGTACCGTGCACAAAGTCCTGAGTTCAGTCCCAGCACCATATAATTAATTGGACATAGTGGTGCATGTTCATAACCCCAGCACTTGGGAGATGGAGGAGGGAGGGTCAGAAGCTCAGAGTCATTTTTGGCTATATTGTGAGTTTCAGGACAGCCTACACTGTATGAGACTGTCTCAAAAACAAAAACAATCAACCCAACAATTTTCCTTAATTGAAAACAGCCGAATTCAGAAACTCTTTTAAAGCTAAAGGTTAAGAGTAAGTTGGTGTAAATCTGCCCCTTAAGATATTATCAAGTAAGCCGGGCGTTGGTGGCGCACACCTTTAATCCCAGCACTCGGGAGGCAGAGGCAGGCGGATCTCTGTGAGTTCGAGGCCAGCCTGGTCTACAGAGTGAGTTCCAGGACAGCCTCCAAAGCCACAAAGAAACCCTGTCTCGAAAAACCAAAAAAAAAAAAGTTTCTGAAAATTTATAGGTTAATATTCAAGAAAAAAACTAGAAAGGGGGATAGTTGGGCGTGTTCCTTTATTCTAGGAACCTCCATGATTTTATATTAAATAGTGGTGCACCAAGGACAAAATATTTATCACAGGTCTATTGATGTTGTAATGATTGCAGATACTGAATACCAAGTCATGCACAAGGACAAGGTGTTCATCACAAACAGATCTAATTGATGGTGCAAGGGCAGATACTGTATACAAAATCAAATATAGTTCCTCTTGTAAGATTGGATTGCAATGACTTGGAAGGCAATTTTACTTTTTGGTGATTTCATACACATATTGAGCTTATTAAGTCCTTCTAATTTGTATTATCCCTGCTTCCACCAAATACCCAGCTTGCAGAAAAATATGCAACTTAAATGATTTTCATTATTAGATATTTTCACAGAGTAAGTGTTATTTATTTCATTGAATTTCAGAGTGATAAAGAATATCTAAGAAAGGATAGTTTGGTTTTGTGTCTAGAAGGATAAATACCCGTTTTTCACTGGCATTGGGCTTTAGTTTTGACTTAGCACTTTGAATTATCTAAGTACTTAGGTCTCAGTTGAATTCTTGAACAAAAAGTATGCACCTTCGCTTATTGTTAAGAGTTTAAGTTGAACTTTTGAGTTTCTGTTATCATTTTTCTTGACTTTTTTCTTGGATGCTGATGTTGTACCCAGTTGCTGCTACGTTTTGTGAGTGGTGTATTGCTGACTCAGATCCCTCCCTTCCTTTCTGGAAGTGGTTTGATGATGTGAGTAGGCCAAGAAAAAAAAAATACTTATTTGTCCCAAGTAATGAAAGATTTATCTCTTTCAGAGATATTTATCTCTTTCAGAGATATGATTATCTGTAATTTGTCCCTATTTTTATACTTGTTTTTTACATTTGGAAATAAAAACACTTATTAAAAATAGTTTTGATTTAAATGCTATTTTAAATAGCAATGAGAAGTAGATAGAATTTGGGTGTGGATGCCTCTTCTTATTCCTAATTTTATCACTTTCATTTCCTGTCTTTTATATTTCTATCTAAATTTTTCCTTTTGTAGGAAAGTGCTTCCTTGGCAGATAGATTGATACAGGTATAGTTTATCTTTATTTATTTTTAGTGTTTTCACTAACCTCTAGAGAAAATCCTAAACTTAGAAATTCATACTTAATGCATGCAATTTTACATGCATTTTCTTAGAAATAATTCTTTGGGCTGGCATATGGATGCATACTTAATGATTTGGTAAATGTATTATCATTAATTGGATGCCTGTCTCTGCACGTTTTAAAGCTAACCTTATTTTTAAAGTATTTATTTCAAATGGCAAACAGTGAATTCTGTGACATTAATCACGGTTCACTGAACATTTAGCTCTGCATGTACATCTCAGTAATATTGCATGAATTGGGGTGTTTTTTTTCCGACTAAGAGAATTGTTCTTAAGACTGTCATATGAAAACTTCCTTTAGTTTCCTCAAATTTGCTAGAGCAAAATAACGAGCTCCTAGCTAATAATTACCTAGGCTATTCTGTTCTCTGAGGTGCTTTTTTTTTAACATGTCAAGAAATAACTAAACCCCACAAAAGCAGTCTTAAATCTATTCTAAATTGCTTTATATACACACAAAAATTATGTCCTAAGGGACAAGTGACAAGAGCCCAGGAGGCTGAGGAAAACTACCTCATAAAACGGGAGTTGGCCACCATCAGACAGCAGAGTGATGAGGCCAGTGCTAAGCTGGAGCGGGCTGAAAGCACCATCAGAGAGCTCCGGCACCGCCATCACTGGGTAAGGAGTCCAAAGGAGCGCCCCCCCCCCCAGGTCACACGCGTGACGCACAGCTTTAAGAACTGTTAAAACCTCCATGTGTTCTGTAACTCAAGGGAGTCCTCTCGTGGCCACAAAGGTTCCTGTTCTTCTTTTCCGTCTGTGGTTTTGTTAGAAATAGGTAATGTTTTCTTTTATGTTATATTATCTCCTAAGTCATAGAAGACAAGCAGTGTGCAGATGCTGTTTGGGTTTTTAGATATCTCCTTCATAGGAGGTAATGCTGGCATCAGCTAGTTTTTGGTCACTGCAGAGCAAAGTTACTACTCAGCCTTTAGAATGTGTATTTAAAGCTTCCATGATGCCGACAGCTTATATTTTGTGAAATGTTCTAGCTGAGACTTCTGTATCACAACATTGAATTGTGAGTTGAAGTACATGCCTACATTTACTTGAAAAGGAGAAATGTTGTCAAATAGGGGGAGTAATTCTTAAAAAATACAAATTACTGCTGGGCAATGGTGGCGCATGAATGGACTTTGCTGTTATTCAGCAAAATTAATCTGCATTCAACAGTTAGAAGACTAGAAAGGAAAAGGGCAACGAAGCCATAAGCCTGTATTTCTACTAGTTAAGGAGAATGGGTGCGTTAAAGTAATACTGGAATAGCTGCAGTGGTTTGAAGGCGTGAGACAGAAAATAGAGCTCCTTGTAGTGAAATGGACATGACGTGTCAGTGCAGTGTCATTGTTGTCAGTGTGGAAGGAAGGTGAGTTGTAGTGCTTATGTCAGCGTCCGCTGCAGCTCTGATGCAGTAAAGCCACAACACATGGAAGACGGTTAGTGCCGAACCCATGAGAGGGCAGTAAACTGTAGGTCATGGAGGGGAAGCTAGGAGAGTGTGCAGAATGAGTGAAATTAGTAGCATAGCCTTGAGGGAGCTTCCAAGTTCAAGCTGTACGTCTCAGATATTAAAATGCCTTGCAGAATGATTGTGGAAATAGTAGAAATTGCATTTTCAGAAAATGAGAGATACAGCAGCCTTAATGTAGATACATGCATTTTCTCACAGAAAGCAGGAAGGGAATGTTAGGTTTGTTTGTGTGGCCTTGTATATATGCTTCATTGAGAATTCTAAAACAATCCATTTTATGGCTTAGTAAAAGTTAATTGTGTCAAGACAGAAAAATGTTATTTCTGTAGTTATAGGTGAATATATTTTGTAGCAGGCTGGTCTCAAACTCACAGAGATCCACCTGCCTCTTCCTCCCGAGTGCTGGGATTAAAGGTGTGCATCACCACTGCTCAGCATCTAGTTTTTTTTAGTTAGGATATCCATTTACTTTTATATATGCATTTTGTGATTTTTTTATTGTGATAAAATATATCTAACATTTAAGTAAGTGTGGTTCAGTGGCATTGAGTGTATTTCCATTGCTAGTAACAGTATCATTGTTCGTAAAAATTTCTCATGATATTAAACTCTACTCCTTAAATAAGAAACAAATGAGCTTACTGTCGTGAAAAAGCTTACAAAAAATGGCACATTTAGTCAGCATGGTTATAGTACGTATGTACTGACAGGCAGGGCTTGAGAGATAGCTTGGTGGTTAAAATACTTGTTGCTCTTTGCAGAAGACCCAGGTCTGATTCCAGTGCCCACACAGCAGCTCACAACCTTCTGAGTCCAGTTCAGCTCCCTGTTCATGTACTTGGTGTGCATACATACATGCACATGGTATGCATACTCCATGCACTTGGTGTACATACATACATGCAGGCAAACAGAGGTGCTTGCAGGAGCACGCAGAGCTTCTGTGCTGGAGCAGCGGGGCGATCAGGGTTGGATCAGAAGGGAGCAGGTGGAAACTCAACTCAAGGCTGGCCTTGCATGTGTCTTAATAAGGGGTGTGCTTCCCTTTAGACTAGGTGAGGGGTCTGGAACTAAAGGAGGGAGCTGCAACAGGTCACCAGTTCAAGGACTGTGGGACTATAGCCCCCAAAGCGTTTGAGGAATACAGAAGGTAAGGGTTTGAGTATCTGGATTTTCACTGATTGGTGAGGAGAGAGCATCTTTGGCCACTGGTGGTAATAGGGGCTGTTACACAGCCAAGCTTTAAGTGATTCCAGGGTGTGATATTTGAATAGGCCAATTCTATTTTATGTTCACCTACTTAGGAATACAGTGGATGTATTATCCAACTTTCAGGTTATTGTGACAGATCAGTTGGAGCAAATCAACTCTCTGGAGGAAGTTTATTTAGTCATGCTTTCAGCTCGTAGTTAATTGGACCTGTTTCTTTGGACCGGTGGCAGTGTTTACATCATGTTGAGAACTCAAAGTGTAGGAAACCAGTTCCTCATGGCAGCCAGGAAGCAGGGGTGTCTCTTTCAAGGATACACCCTTAGTGTACCCCTCCCCCACTACACCCCATTTCCTAAAGGCTCCATATCCTTCCATGTCCTTTTATCTGAGTGATTTGGGATATGACCTTCAACAGTTGATCCCTGAAGGTGAACTGAGATGGACTCAGCTGCAGGGACCTGGAAGGAGCAGGCTTGACAGGCTGCTGTGTGGCCCCTGGGAGTTTGTGTGACTTGACAGTTGAGAGTGACCCCCATAGGCTCATACATTTGAATGCTTGACAGTTGAGAGTGACCCCCATAGGTCACACATGTGAATGCTTGACAGTTGAGAGTGACCCCCATAGGTCACACATGTGAATGCTTGGTCCCTAGCTGGTGGACTGTTTAGGAAGTGTTTAGGAGGAATGACAAGGGTCGTGGGCTTTGAGACTGTAAGCCTAAGCCAGGCCCAGTCTGTTTCCCCATCTCCATCTTGCTGATCCATGCCAGCTCTCAGCTACTGCCCCACAGCCGTGCCTGCCTTCCCGCCCCCCATGCCTCCCTCCATGACGATCATGGGGTAGCCCTTTACAACTGTAAGCAACCCCCAGTTAAATGCTTTCTTTTACAAGTTGCCTTGGTAGTGGTGTCTGTTTATAAGAACAGAACAGTAACCAAGAAGAGGAAAGAGTTAGGGATGGACAGTTAGAGCATCTGAATCAAAGTAGATTTCAGAATCAAATGGTATCAGGACTACCCACAACAGCAAGTGTAATGATCTCACTTAAGGTTGAGTATATTTAGGAATATATAGCATTCAGTGATTCTACCAGTAGAGGGTTTTGATTCTTAACTGATGAAACGGGTGATATGAACAAACCCACAGTTGTAGTCCTTAAGATTTTGCTTTTAATTATATGTACTGTCTGTGACTGACTGTGTGCAGTGTCCACAGAGGCCAGAAGAGGGATTCTGGAGGTGGAGTTAGAGGCAGGTATGAACTTACAAATGTGGGTACTGGGAATTGAACTCAGGTCCCCTTTCTTAACCACTGAGCCATCTCACCAGCCCCAATACACATCTCAGTAACTGGTAAAAGCCAGCTGGTAACAAATCATTATTGAATAGAAACTCTGAAGAGTTCTGTTGCCATATTGAACTGATGGGCATTTGTAAAACAGTATCAAAATACACATTAAAGTATGTGTGGAGTATAATTTTGGGTCATAATTTATATTGTATTTAATATTTTTACATACATGTAATATTGATCTCTTAAAAATTTAAAAGAATTAAAATATCTTCTTTGACTTTATCAGCATTCAGTTAGAAATTAATAATAGAGGGACTGGAGAGATGACTCAGTGGTTAACGTATTTGCCTTGCAAGCATTTAGACACCTGGAATAAATACTGAGTGGGAGCAGCACTCTGCAATTCCAGCACTTGGGAGAGGGAGGTGGGATCCTGGAAGCAAGCTAGCTAACCAGACCAGCTTGCATCAGAGCAATAAGCTTTTGACAGATTTTGCCTCGGTGAATTAGGTGGAAAGCAGTCAGGGAAGGCTCCTGTCATCAACCTTGGGCCTCTACATACATACATAACCAGTATGAGGGATAACAGTGGCTTTTTGCAGATAGAGCTCAATTGTTTTATTTTATATTCTGAATTTTTCTGATTCTTCTCCAGAGTGCCATTGTACTTTTTATAATCTGGATTCACTTAGACATTTAGATTAGAGAGAACATTGTAGAATTCATCCAGTTTTTAATCAGAAAGTGAGTTGTGTCCTAGACCAGTGGTGAATTTGGTTACCAGGTTTAGGTTGGTTGGTTACTGTAGCTTCCTTTGTAAAGATGTGGTTTCATCTTCACAGCTGTTAAGCAGTCCAGTGGGAATAGTTTGTACCAAATAACTACAGCTAACTACAGTTGCTTCTTGGTATCTTTAGGCTGATTGATTCCTGGAAGTACATTTAAGTCTGTGGCTGCTCAAAATCCTCACATAACCTGGCATCATAGTAACATATACCCTCCACATATCCTTCTGTGTACTTTACATTTAAATTTATAGGTTACGTATGCCTAAGTCAGTGTAATTAACATGTAAATAGTTGTAACTTAGAAAATAATATCAAGAAAAACTAATTGCTTAATACATTTACAGATCTGTAAAACTTTCCATAATTGGGTTGTGTCCATAAATATGGAGCCCATTGGTGTGGGGGTCCATCTATCTGTGTTCATTGGCTTTTATCTGTTTGGACATCCATGTATCTGTGTAAAGTTAGTTATTTCACTAGTTTTCCAAAGTGGTGGTTTTCATTTTTTCCTCACTTGTTCTGCACTTATTAGTGTTCTTTTGAAAGAAAACATTTGTCTTTCCTCCTTTAACCTCTTTTCCCCCCAGCACCTCACTGAAGCCTCTTTTGTATCACTCCAGATTCATAGACCTTTGTTTTTTCAATATTTCATATGATCTTTAAGAGTTTAATGCAATTGGTATAATGATGTTAAACTCATTTACAATTTAAAAGTGTAAGGCTTGCCTTTTGCTTATCATTGGAAGTTGTGTAATTTGAGAAAGTATGTTCAATAGTCTGGTGACATATTATTTATGATTTATTAATGCTTGCCTGAGGATTCAAAAAGCAAAGCCAGTCACAGGCTATAGAGGTCAGGCAGTGGTAACACACACCTTTAATCCCAGGACTCAGGGTTAAGAGGTAGACAGATCTCTGTGAGCTCTAGGCCACACTGACTACATGAAATTGATCCAGTCCTAAAAGCAACAGCTCACACAAAGGTGATCTCAGCACCTGGGATCACACACCTTTAATCCCAGCACTAGGGAGCTGATATGGCTGGGTAGAGAAAGGAGTAAGAGGAGGAGACAGGAACTGAGAGCTTTTGCCTCTGAGGATTTGTGGGGACAGGACCAGCCATTTCAGCTGGGTAGAAGTAAGACCTACTGACTTTGCTTCTCTTCAGCTTAAAGCTTGAACCCCAACATCTATCTCTCTTTTATTAATTGGGTTACACAATAGCCCGTAGGAATTTCTGATACTCATCTAGTGGATTTGTTTTCTTTATAACATTGGTGGCCTATTCTGGTCTGTGAGGGCATGCACACGTATGTCATATATTCTTAGACACACACATACATGTAAACTTAAAATACAACAATCTTTCTAAAAATAATATTGCTTTGATCTAAAGGTTAAAACTTTTATATATTTATATGTAATGTTTGTCTTTCATTTTAAATAACAAGTAAGAGCTCGCTATAGTGAGAGTATTTGTTTTCTTAACATCTCTTTATCATTAATAGTAATTAAAAGTAACTGGAGAAATTTTAATTTTAAAGGATTTATGCAGTTTTTAGGTATTAGAAGGAAATCGTATTTAAGTGATGGGTAGTTTTTGATAGTACTGGGATTTGAATGCAAGGCTAATGCATGGTGAACATGTCATCTATCCAGCTAGCGTATCCCCAGCCTCCTTTTTACTTTTTGTCCTGATACATGGTGTTACTAACTTGCACATAGTGAGTGACCCGATTTCATTCTAGCCCTGACTAGCTTTGAGTTTTTAATTCTTCTCTCTTAGCTTCCCAACTGCTGCAGTTATAGGCATGTGCCACTATGCCCGATAGATTTAAAAAACAAAAAATCCACAGCCATTTTGGGCACATGGGTAGGGATGGTTGTGAACATTTTTGGGGGCCATGTACCTGGAGATCAGAATATGCATTTTTTGTTGCAGAAACCTATTCTGGACTACTCTGCATTTTGTAATTCTATATTTCTTCTAGATGCTTATGAATGTGGCAGTCACATTCATGAGATTTCCTTACTATTTAATTTTGTATTACACATACTATTGCACATTTTGTCTTGGCAATAAGTAAAATCATATTTTAAAAGTAGCTCTCAATTGCTAGGTGGAGATTTGAGTAAAATGGAGACAAAGATGAGGGCATGCACCAGCATCCCCCGCGACATTTGTTACTTATGTATTTGTTGTTTTGGGCTGCAGTGGGCTTCAAGAAGCTGCAATGGCCTCCCTGGCATTTGTGAATGCAGTGGAGCAAACAGGGAGAGGGGAGGATGTCATGCCTCAGGGGTCTGTTTCTTTGTGTGGTGTCTTTTTTCCCTCTCTTCTTATGCTAATCCATGCAAGTATTTTAAAGAATTTGACATTTCTCAAGCAATACAGTTTTGCTTACTTAGGGTTTAAGATATTTCGCCTTATTTGGTGTGCCATTTTTAACTTACGATGCATTAAAATCTAATTTTTATTTATCTAAGCTTTATTTGCTTCTGTAGCCTGTTAATGAGCTAAATAAGCATTCTCAAGATATTGTATTATCTATACTGCAAAGGGTAAAAGGGAAGTTAATGTTTTTTGTTTATCTCAATTTTTTTTGTTTGTTTTTTGTTTTTTGTTTTTTACGAGACAGGGTTTCTCTGTATTGCTTCGGAGGCTATCGGTCCAGCCCGGCCTCGAACTCACAGTGATCCGCCTACCTCTGCCTCCCGAGTGCTGGGATTAAAGGCGTGCGCCACTACCGCCCGGCTTGTTTATCTCAATTTTAAATAATATTTCAACATGCCATCAGCATAAAAACCATGGAGTTATTTTATGTGCTTATTTAATTTTACTCTTTTGGTGGTGGTGCTGTGTGTTGAACAAAAGGGACTTGCCCTGAAAACAGTTTGTGTCTCGTTTGTAACCGTACTTGGCAAGGATTAGGCTCACATCACCTGCTAAGTGACCATGTGAAGCTAATGGTTACCATGTTGAATCAGAACAGATCCTCAGTTTCTTGAGAGGTGGGCAGAAAGGAGACAGGTGCTTCGTCTGAACAGGGTTGAGGAGTGGAATAGCTCGTTACCAAAAGCCACTGCACAGTCATCCCCAAAGACGCCAGAACTGGGCCTGCCTGCCTGCCTGCCTGCCTGCCTGCCTGCCTGCCTGCCTGCCTTCCTTCCTTCCTTCCTTCCTTCCTTCCTTCCTTCCTTCCTTCCTTCCTTCCTTCCTTCCTTCCTGCCTTCCTGCCTTCCTGCCTTCCTGCCTTCCTGCCTTCCTGCCTTCCTGCCTGCCTGCCTTCCTGCCTTCCTTCCTTCCTTCCTTCCTTCCTTCCTTCCTTCCTTCCTTCCTTCCTTCCTTCCTTCCTTCCTTCTTTCCTTCCTTCCTTCTTTCCTTCCTTCCTTCCTTCCTTCTTTCCTTCCTTCCTTCTTTCCTTCCTTCCTTCCTTCCTTCCTTCCTTCCTTCCTTCCTTCCTTCCTCCCTCCCTCCCTCCCTCCCTCCCTCCTTCCCTCCCTCCCTCCCTCCCTGCCTTCCTATCCCCCCCAGTCCCCCCTCCCTCCCTTGTAAACTCATTTGTTGAGGAAAAGGAAATACTTTGGAATACTGAGTATATCGAATTTTACTTTCTAGTTGCCCATAATGCCCACATAGTGTGATTTCATTATTTTTCCTGTATGCATGTATTTACATGCTTGTGTTTCCATAAAATTTCAGTATGTGTCTCTAACCTTTAGCATAAATGCAGCTCCACCTACAATGAAGATTTTGTGCTGCAGTTGGAGAAGGAATTGGTTCAAGCCAGACTGAGCGAGGCTGAGTCTCAGTGCGCATTGAAGGAGATGCAGGATAAAGTGTTGGATATAGAGAAGGTAAGGGAGGCTGCATGAGATGGGAGCTGTGCTAGACACTTGCCAAAGTCCCCACTGGAGAGCTGAATTAGGCCTGATGTGTTTTACATATGAGGACACTATGTTAGTTGCTGAATCAGCAAATAAGGAAATGTTGCTACTTGGTCGATGGTGCGTGCTTGCCTAGAAGGCATGAGGTCCTGACTTCAGGCCCCAGCCCCACATAGAGCCAGGTATAGAGGGAGCAGTTCAAACTTAGCCTGGTGTACAGGAGACCCCTTCTAAAGGGAGAGTGGAAAGGCAGAAAATAGAAACGACTTTAAGGCTGCGGATAAGAGAACCCTTTCCTGTGTCAGCGAGTTCCAGACTATCCCCGCTTGTTCTGGAGTCAGATTGTTATTGCAGCTCTGTGGTGTGACTTAGAACAGGGTGTTGACACTTCCAGCACTGCTTTACTGCTTAGCACTGGTTTAGCTACTCTGGGATTTCTGTGTTTCCATATAAAACTGAAGATTGATTTTTCAATTGCGTTGGAATTTTTGTGGGCATTGCATTGAATCTGTAGATTGTTTTGGTAGGATGCCATTTTTTGCTGTTAACCCTACCAATCCATGAGCATGGGAGATCTTTTCATCTTCAGGTGTCTTCTTCAGTTAAGAGTTCCAGTTCTTCCTGGTTACTTTCTTACAATTTTCCATATTTAAGGATACAAATAGAGAGCCGGGTGGTGGCGGCGGCAGCACACGCCTTTAATCCCAGCACTTGGGAGGCAGAGACAGTCGGTTCTCTGTGAGTTCAAGGCCAGTCTGGTCTACAGAGCGGATTCCAGGACAGGCTCCAAAGCTACACAGAAACTGTGTCTCTAAAACCAAAAAAAAGAATACAAATAGAGCTGAATTCAGTCCTCAGAATCCACATGGTGGCAGGGGAGAACTAACTCCACAGATGTATACATGCACACACAGGCATACAAAACTAATTTAAACAAATGTGCTAAGTTTTAAAAGAAATCTCAACTTTTCCCTGACTTTAGAAGAACAACTCATTCCCTGATGAAAATAACATTGCAAGGCTTCAGGAGGAACTCATCGCTGTGAAGCTGAGAGAAGCCGAAGCCATTATGGGTTTGAAGGAACTCCGGCAGCAAGTCAGAGATCTAGAAGAACACTGGCAAGTACGTCAGAGTCAGACTTGTGCTTTTCCAAAGGGAACTAAAACCAAAGTACTTAGTTTGTGTGGATTTGAAATACCCGGTGATCAACAGTAGACAATGAAAAAAAATTTTATTCAATGTCACAGTTAAGAACATTTACAACTTGGAAGTACATTTAAGATGTGCTTTATATAATTCTTAAAGTGAAACAAAAGATAAAGTAGAAACCAGATCATGGTTTTTTTTTTAATTTAATTTAATTTTTTCTGAGACAGAGTTTCTCTGTAGTTTTGCAGGCTGTCCTGGAACTCACTCTGTAGATCAGGCTGGCCTCAAACTGACAGAGATCTGCCTGTCTCTGCCTCCTGAGTGCTGGGATTAAAGGCGTGTGCCAACACCACCCATGAAAACCAGATCATATTTTTTTATTGCTTTGAACTTTTGCATTGTTCACCATTTCCTGGTGAACTATAAAGAAATATTCCTCTTATGTAGTACAAAACTTTTCATTTTTATTAAATATTTTTATCCTTTGAGAATGTCATACATGTATGCAATATATTTTGATTATATTCACCCTCACACCTCCCCCAAATCATCCCAGATACAGTTTACCTTCCCTCTCAACTTCAGATCCTCTTTTTTTTTTTTTTTTTCTTTTAAACTCACTAGTCCAGTCTGTGCTGCCCTTATACTCATGGGTGTGGAGTCAGCCATTTGAGCATGGTTGCTCTACCAGGGGCTACATTCCCTTGTCCAGGAACTGTCAGCTAACCCCTTCATGCTGGAATGTTGACTGACTTGATCTTATGCAGGTCTTGTGCAGGCAACCACAGCTGGTGAGAGTTCATGAGTCCGATGGTGCCATCATGTCCAGAAGACATTGTCTTGCCCTGACCTTCCCCACCCCCTTTCCCACAATGAGCCTTGAGGGGAGGGGCATGGCACAGGTGTTTCATTTATGACTGACCACTCCATCACTTTGGTCAGTTGTCAGTTTCTGTGTTAGCTGTTGCCCACTGCACAAAGACTGACCTATGTTGTAGAGGTGGAACTTAGAGGAGGTTTGGTACTCTGTTCGTGTAGCAAACATTTACTTTGCTATTAGTGTGAAACAGCTGAAGGGGGCACTAATGCATATTTGTAAATTTCTGACATCTTTTGAAAATACATATCGCAAAATAAACACTACTTTAGGTATATTCCCATAAATGCGTCTATTTGTAAGGGAAATTTGATAACAAAAGGAAACACCATGTAAGAAGAGAATGGAGTTTTAAAAACTGCTGGTTCAGAATGGTGATCTTGGCTTGAACTGAGGGTGGGATGAGACCTCTAGGAAAGACTGAAATTAGTGTTTGAGGGGCCTGTGAGATGCTAGTGGGAGGGGACACTTGCTGCAAGGACTCGTGACCAAGGCTGAGAATCTGAACTGATTTCCCTGGACTCCCAAGGGGGAAGAGAACTGACTCTTGGCAAGTGGTCCTCTGCACTCCATATGTGTGCTCTGGAACACTCCCAAACAGCGAATAAATGTAATATAATTTTGAAAGAACAAAAGTAATTATTCCTTGATACTGTCATGGCTTTTTAAAAAATATATTTTGAAAAGTACCCAGCTGCAACAAAGTGTCAGTTAGGTTGGGTTTGGTGACATGTATCTGGGATCCCAGCACTTAGGCAGCTGAGGCAGGAAGATAAGCCAAAAATCTACTAGAAGTACAATGCAAAAACTTCTCTCAAGCAAATAAAATGATCTTGGACAGTGCTTAAATACATGCTCTATAAAGTTAACTCTTAATTTTGGTAAAGTATTTGTTGCAATACAATGTTTTATGATTTAGCGTCATTTAGCTCGAACTTCCGGGAGATGGAAAGATCCGCCCAAGAAAAATGCTGTGAATGAGTTACAAGATGAGCTGATGAGCATTCGCCTTAGAGAAGCCGAAACACAAGCAGAAATAAGAGAAATGAAGCAAAGGATGATGGAAATGGAGACACAGGTACGACGGGCAAGCCCGACTGGATTGCAAGTAGCACTAGGTCAGAGTCTTACACAGCTGTTGTCTCAATTTCTTTGTGTTACAAAGAATAACATTGAAGAGATACTATAAAGTTATGAAGAGTAAAAATCTTGGCTTTAAATGGGAAATTACAAGCCATTGTGTTTAGGGAGTGCTAAATGAGTAAAAAATTTAACATTGCATTATCCTTAGAATTAATGTAAAAGATGAAATCTAGACAGCAGAAAGCTAAAAGTTTCCTGCTCTTACTCTCTTGAGATAGGGTCTGTCATTGAACCTGGAACAGTGGCAACTTACCATTTTCTACAATTAAGCTCTCTGGCCAGCAAGCTCCAATAATTTTCCTGCCTGTGTCCCCAACACCCCAGCTCTAGGTTCAAATGTGAGCCCACCTTTTACACACGTGCTGACAATCTAAACTCGGGCCTTCATGCTTGTTCACCAAGCACTCCTGCTCACAGCCATTGCCCCAGCCCTATTTTTTTTTTTTTTAGCTTTGTTTTGGGGCTTGGGTTTTTTTTTTTTTTTTCCAGACAAGGGTGTGCAGTGTCCCTGGCTGACTTGTTACTCATTGTGTAGCCTGGATTAGTCTCAAACTAGTGACAAACCAGCCCCAACCTTCCCAGTGTTGGGATTATAAGCATATACATTTTTCCCCCAGAGGTTTAATCTCTGCTTTGACCCTTCAATAAAATTTAAGCAAGCCAGACTCCATTTGGGCTTATTAGTGTTGCCTTATTGTACAAATTAAGAAGGGAAATTTATACAGAGCAAGGTTCCTCAACCTGAATACATAACATCTGAGCTAGAAGTTGTTTACGTAGCTAGCCTGTGCATCACAGGGTGTTTAGCAGCACCCTGATCTCTGCCCTCTCCATGCATTTCCATAAATCTGTCTCTATAAATTTCCAGTAGAGAATCACAAGTGTCGACTGTAATGTGCATTTTACCCTTTCAAGTTACGTAACGTGAGCCTGAGTAATAAGTTTAAAATGTAAGTGTGGGGTCAGCTCCTCAGGTCCCTTCTCACACCCTGTCCTAAATGTATGTGCCCCAAGATGTGCAGGTTGTTTTACTGACAAAACTTGTTTGCATTGTAAAATTTATAAATTAATGTTTGTGTGAGCTGTATTTCACATAAAGTTGTCCTGTGGGATCCATGGTGCAGATTGTAGGATCTTTAGATGTCCAAGTTCCTTAAATAAAATGGTTTGTTTGTGTGTAACCTACGTACATTCTGTAGTATACTTCAAATCATCCCTAGGTACAATGTATAATATAACAAAGAAGCAATAGAAATGATTGTTACACTTGATTATTTAGGGAATAATTACAGGAGAAGTCTGCATATATGCAGTAGATACAATAAAAAAAATTCACTCCTTAGCAGTTTGAATTGATGGATACATAGGGAAGGGCAACAGTGCATATTACTGACTTTCAGAGTATTTATTTAGCCAGTAGGGGGCATAGTTTACTCATGTCTCATCCTGTATTTTAGTGAACAGAGATGGTGGTGATTCCACCAGGCATGCTAATGTGAGTGTGCAGTGTCTTTAGGATAGACATATCTGGTTTCATATCATCCAATTACTTTCTCAAAAGGTTTTATTGAAATTCAATAAAGTTTTATTGAAAATAAATAAATATGGGAGTGTCTAAAATTATAAGGAGTCAGATTTTATTTATAATGGGAAGTTTTATTGATTTATTTGGTTATTTATTTATTTATTTGGTTTTCCGAGACAAGTTTTCTCAGTGTAGCTTTGGCTGTCCTGGAACTCGCTCTGTAGACCAGGCTGGCCTCTGACTCACAGACATTCACCTGCCTCTGCCTCCCGAGTGCTGGGATTAAAGATATGCACCACTACCACTCTGTGGGAAGTTTTATTTTTATGAACAAAATTTATACGTGTGTGTGTGTGTGTGTGTGTGTATTTGTATGTATGTGGGGGGAGTCAAGCTCCAGACATGGTTTAGAGAGCTTCTGAAGTATGAGGCATTGTCTAGCCATTAAAGGATGGACAGACAGCTAAGCAGTCAGGTGTCACAGACTATAGTAAACATGACCAGAAACTGACTCTAAGTTCAGATGAGAGAGAGGTTTCTACCCCACATAGGAGATGACATTTAACTACAACTAGGTAGTTTGGGGAATGGCTTTCTAGAGGATTTGTGTTTCAAACTGGGCTGGACAGGCAGCTGTGGCTTGTGCTAGATTTTCCTATGAGTCACTGGTTTGTAAATGCCAAGACCTTGGACTGGTAGTAATCATGAAGTTTTTTGAGAATTAAAAAAAAAAAAGCTGTGGTACAATGACAGTGACATATAGTTAGCTGCAATATTATCCTGAGTACCCATGTAGTCACTGTCCAGAATTCGTTCATGTTGACTACAGAGTATACTCCAATTTATTGAGCCGCTGTCCTCTTTTTATATGCACATTTTTATGTGGCAAGTAGTTCTGCTCTGAACATTCATTTGTATGTTTGTGTTTATTGAGTGTGGTGTTCCCTCTTTCTCTGTGCTGTGGACACCGTTGCCATCTGGATCATTTGGAACTCTTACCTTGTCAGGAGAGTGATTTCCAATGCATAGAGTGAAATACATGACTGCAAAAACAAAGCAGTTACACTGAGGTGGAATTTCCCAAGTGCTAAAACAGCTGTGTGATGTAGAACACAGACACAGAGACACTCAAAATGCATTCCTGTTTCTGGATAAAGTTTGGGGTACTTATGGTCATAATTTAAACTGCACTATAATTGCCTCATCTTTCTGTCTTTCTACCTTACTTGTGTACTTACATTTCTGATACACATATAAGTACTTTATAGCATTGAGTTTGCCAAGTGTTTTTTTTTTAATGCAGAATTTGCTAAAAACTACTAAACTCTATGTATACTTGAGGTGGTTTTAGAAATGAGCTTTGTCTCAGTAAAACTACAAAAATCCGACCTCACAGTTTCTTATAACCGCCCTGCTTAGTTCAGATTTTGTGCTTCTGTTTTATTTAATTCCTGTTTGTTGAGTCTTTTATTCCTTTTCTTTATCTCTTGGGTTTATTTGGTTTGACTTGTTTAGTGTCCCTTCAAGTAGACTCTTTGTGGTTGCTTTGTGTTTTACAACAAGCATCTTTAATTAGCACTGCCTTCAAATAATGTTGAGTTAGAGGCAACAGATTGTCTACTTTGAATTCATACGTAGTAACTGCAGCGTGCTCTTGACCTTCCTCACCTTTAAAGTATTAGTGTCATATAGATTATGTGAGTAATTTTGCCTTTGTTATTTTGTCCTAGTGAAATGTGTTTTTCTTTCAGTTGATTCCCCTTCCTGTAGATTGTGTTTTTGTCTGGCGAATCTTTATTTCAGTGTGCAGATTTGTTTTGTTTTGGTTTTTGAAACAGAGTCTCTGATGTGCAGCCCTGGCTGCCCTGGAACTCACACACATCCTCTTGCCTCTGCCTCCCAGTTACTGAGATTCAGGGGTGGCATTATCACACCTGGTTTTGAAAACGTTTTGTGTTCCTCTGCTAGCAGTAGATTTTCTTTGTTTTTATTATTTGAGGAAGACTTTATTTCTCCAGGCTTCATGGTTTTCTTTAATTGTGTATATGTGTGTGGGTATGTGCATGTGAGTGCAGGTGCTCATGGAGGCCAGAGGCATAGGATCCCTTGGAACTGGAGTTACAGTTGGCCGTGTGGGTGCTCTGGGAGAGCAGCATGCACTCTGCGCCCCTGAGCCGTCTTGTCGACATCTACTTCTCCAATTTTAAAAGACTGACACTGCTTTTCTTTCACAGATGTTTTGCTGGGTTCTCCTTTTCCTGATGGTATTGGTGATACGTCTGTGCACACACCTCACTCTCCCATACCCCTCATAACTATGCTAAGTTCCCCGTGAGATAATTCAGTTTCTGTATCAGATGCAAGACTGCTTCTGTGTATAGTTTTGTCTCGTTACATTTCTTGGTTTTTCCTTGCCTTTTCATATGCTTTGTAAGTTTTTGCGCCCATTTTCATCATCTGCCCCAACAAATATAAATTGAGAAGGGTATAGCAGTAATTGGGTATCTTGTATAGGACAGTAACTAAGGTAAGTAGATTTGATGCCTAGAAATGGGTCCACATTTCCTCCTGCTGGGCCTTTCATGTGGCAGAGTTGAGTTAATACTGTCAGATGTGCTGAGCTGAGGTTTGCTCTGTGGTTGTATACTGTGCACCACAGGGTTCAAATCCCTTTGGCAATACCTCATTTTCAGAATGAGGGCTGTGTAGCACAAATAGTAAAAACCCAGAGACAAATACTGAGGTTCAAACTGAAGATCAGAAAAGCAAAACAGCCAACCACTAGGTCTTACCTGACCGAAAGGGCAATCCTGTCTCCACAAATCCTCGTGGTGGCTGGAGACTGACTACTGCATTAGACCCTGCTCCTATCTTATACACTTCTCTAGTGCTGGGATTAAAGGTGTGTACCACCCTGCCTGGCCTCTGTGACTGGCTATCTTTGCATTCTGATCTTCAGGCAAGCTTTATTACATCATGAACAAAATATCATCACAGGGCTAGTTTCCCAGAGAGCTTTTCTCAGAAACTTCATGTCTTCATTCAGCACCAACCCCTGGAATTGAGACTATTTCCAGCAGTATTCTCTGTTACTCGTTGCTGGGAGCTGGAGGGGCAAGGTTCCTTCTCATTTTCTGATGTAGCCTCCATTTGCTTTTGTATCAGAGGTGTTTGGCCTGTTAATGCTTCTGCCTACCAATAACAGTAGTCCTCGGTCCAGAACACATTACTGCCTCTTCTTCCAAAGACAGAAGTGTATGCTGGTTCTGTGCCAGATAAAGCTTCCATTCCTTGGAAGAGATAGGGTAAAGTCTGTGCTTCTTCATATAATGACTGTTTTCCCTTGCCACCAGCCCATAGTTCTAAGACTGACCAACCTTTGTTGTGTATACCTCCCTGTTGGGGTATATGACAAGAATGTGTGATCGTCCTGCTTCAGTATCCCGAGTAGCCAGGATTACAGCCTTACACAGCTAGCTTCCACTTACTGAAGTAATTTGAATGTAATTGGCCCCAATAAGCTCATAGGGAGTGTGTGTGGCCTTGTTCTAGGAAGTGTGTCACAGTGGAGGTATACTCTGAGGTCTCATGTATGCTCAAGCCACGCCCAGTGTCTCGGAGACCACTTCCTGTTGCCTGTGAGTCAAGATGTAGAACTCTCAGCTCCTTCTCCAGCACCTTGTCTGCCTTCACGCTGCCTGCTTTCCACCAAGGTGATAACGGAATAAACCTCTGAACTATAAGTGAGCCCCAATTAAATGTTTTCTTTCATAAAAGTTACCATGATCATGGTGTCTCTTCACAGCAATGAAACCCTAATTGAGACTCACATTTTTTTGTTGGGGGAAAGATAAAATTTTCTCAAATACCAACATATCTTACCACAGCTTTTAAAAAACATTTTGTCCTGAAATTTTGGATTCCCCCCCCCCCTCCATGTCTTATGAACTCTTCTGGAACTCTAATATTTTTCAGTATGCCTAATCTTGTATTTCATCCTTTCACTGAGTGTGTGTGTGTGTGTTACACATGTACATGTTTGTGTTTGGGTGTGCATGTGTTTGGGACAGGTCTCCCCTTAAACCTAGAGCTCACCTGTTGGCTAGACCGGATACCAGTGAGCTCTAGAGGCTGCTTATCTCTGTCCCCCCTGGACATTAGCTCCCCAGCATTGGGGTTGCAAATATGAGCTGCCATGCCCGGTCTATACTTGGATGCCAAAGATGGAAACCCAAATCTACATGGCCATACATGGCAAGCATCTAACCCACCGAGCCATCTATCCAGTCCCTCATTGAATTTTTAATTTCAGTAGTTATATTGATCTGTAGAAATTCTATTTGATTAGTTCTTAAAATTTGCAAAATTTAGCCAGGCATGGTGACACACATCTATAATTAGGGCACTCAGCAGGTAAAAGCAGAAAGGTTGTATCAGACCAACCCAGGCCGCATAGCAAGACACTGGCTTAAAAAAAAAAATGACAACAGGGTGTTTTGGCCAAATTCACTCTTCCTCCCCAGCTTAGCCTATCACGTGCTGAGGTAATAGGTGTGCCTGCTGTGCTACTTCTGGATGTTTCTCCTACTGACTTCTTTCTTTTTCCCTTTTTCTTTTGTGTGTGTGTGTGTGTGTGTTTTTTTTTTTTTTTCTTGACAGGGTTTCTTTGTCCTGGAACACGCTCTGTAGACCAAGCTGGTCTCAGACTCACAGAGATCCTTCTGCCGCTGCCTCCCCAGTGCTGGGATTAAATAAATGTGCCTCCATGCCCAGCACTTTATTTTTTGTCTCTTTAATAATTTTAAGCGTTTATTTGATGTAAAGTCCTCATATAGTTTCCTTATTATGAGGAATTCTTAAACTATACTCTTGTCTTTTTGTCACTGCTTCTAACCCACCGTTAAGTCTTGAGATTCTTTGCAGCTGTGATGAAGGAATATCCGTCGGGGGGTATAGCTATTTGTCCCAGGTGTGGCAAGCACCTAAGACAAAGGTTGTAGGACATTTGGAACTCAGTGCATTTAATTTTGCACTGAGAAAGAATAGACTCACAGGTGATGGCTTCGATAGGTGGTCTTCTGAGTGTGGTCGGAAGATGAGAAAAAGGGAAGGAATTGGCAGTGGAAGTCTACATATGGAATTTTCCACCTTCTTCCCCAGTGAAACTGGAGGCAGCGCCATTTTTCACGGAGCGAGGTAGAATGAACCAGATAACAGTGGCAGCTGGGGTTCACTGTGCCCATAGACGTCTCCTGCAGTGACCCTTCCATGTCTTCCTTGCGCGATCTTTCTAACACAGCCAGAAGACCAGCGGCCGTGGCCACCTATTCTCCCAGTACATTGGAATTTGGTTAGGATTCAATAACTTGTCAAAGACCAGAGAACACACGTTCACAGAGATCTTACCACATATATGCTGTTCACGTATGATCTCATTTAGTTCTGGAGACGTCCAAGTTAAATAAAAAATAGCATGTATTTTCGTACGGACACGAAAACTAGAGACTTGGAGATGTTGCTTTCTTAATCATCAAGGGGCAAAGCCAGACTTGAAAGCTGTCTGTGGCCGAGCACAGGCAGGCAGGAGCATCCGCATGAGTGACACAGTGAGAGCCTATCTCAAAAATCAAAGCAGGAAATCCCACGCTGCATCCTGGAAAAGAAGCCAAACTAGACAGGGGATATAGGACATGTGACACACAGGGTGATGTGAGAGTTTCCAGGTCAGTTTGTGCTGTTTCCTCATGTGTGTCTCCAGTGTTTCAGAGATACCCACCTCTAGGTCGTATGTGAAGGTCTTCATAGTTTATAGATTTTAAAAAAATAAATAAATGGTATATTTAGGTTTAAATTTTTGTTTCTTTAAGTATTTCTGGTGTTTTGAAGCAGGGTCTCGTGTAGCCCAGGCTAACCTCAAAGTCTGTATTACAGAGACAAAGCTAACCTAGAACTCCTGGTCCTCCTGCCTCCACCTTCCAGACACTGGGATTACAGGTGTGCCACCGTGCCCGACCGTTATGTTGGTTATAATTTTTAATATTCTTTTGAAGAATTCAGTTTTTTTTTGTTTTAAATGTTTGTGTTTGAGACATGAGTCTTGCTGTGTGGTATGGGCTGTCCTGACATTCACAGTGTAGCCCAGGTTATCTTTGAATTTACTGATCCTACTTCCTCAGCCTCCCTCGTACTGGGATTATATGTGTTGCACACTTGGCAGAATTTGTAAGACTGTTAAAGTGTAAGATTTACAGATAAAAATTTACTAAAAATGTCCAGGCTTTTATCTATAGTGAGCCTATTTATATTTCCCATTAGAACCAGATCAATAGTAACCAACTTCGAAGAGCAGAACAAGAGGTGACCAGTCTGCAGGAGAAGGTACATTCTCTTTCTGCGAAGAACAAAGGGTTGCTTACCCAGTTAAGTGAGGCAAAGCGCAGACAGGCAGAGATCGAATGCAAGGTAAGTTTCAGTGTAACGACGCCTTTTATAGATTTATTTACCGTGGTTTTATTTTGTCTTTTTGAGTAGTCAGTATATGATCCTGACTAGCTTGGAGCTTGCTGTGTAGACTAAACTGATCTCAGAATCTCATTGATTCTTTTCTCTCTGCCTCTCATTGCTGGATTCACAGCTAGATTAAAATTTCAGACAAGGATATATCATCTTGTTCAGAGGGTAAATTGCAAGGACGACACCTCATTTTTAACCTTAGACTTGGTTAAGTTACTGTCTTACACTGGCATAGACTAGAGTGGCTTTTCGATGTTTCTTTTGACTAGTGTCTCTTTAAAACCTAGCTTGTGATGACTCAACTGAAAATGCAGGTGATTGGAGAGGTTGAAGCAGTCATTACTGATATGCTTTCTGGGTAACAGAGAGAGAAAGAGGAATGTATATGTATAGGTAAATTAAGAAAATGAGTACAATTTCCATTCTTTTAATCAGTTTGTGTTGCATGAAGCTTTTTGCTTGAAAATCACTACAAGTATTTGAAATACGTTGAATTTTTTTTTCACAGAAGGACCATATAGTAGCTTTAGCTAATGAGAGGGACAGATGGTTGGGGCATCGGTTAGAGGAGAGGAGGATGGATGTACATACATAAACGTGTGTGAGAATGACTAGACGTGTGTAGTCTGAGCCTTGGAGCAGGTCACTGGAGGGAAGCTGTGATGTGTGAGTGGAACTCCTCCATCTCTAGCACAGCTGCTCTGGTAGTGCTGTGCCCCTCGTGTGTTCAAGCCTTAACTGTTCTCTGAGAACTGACTTCCAGTGACACACATAAAGCTGTAATTCCATCAACTTGCTCTGGTGTCATTAAAAACCGAGAGTGAAGCTTGAGTGGTTTATCAGTGTCACCGAAATCCAGAGATGAAATTACATCCTGATAAATATTCATGGCTGTTAGAATTTAGACTGAAGAAATCTGTAGGCAGTACTGACAATTGTATTAACTCAAGAAGTAACCCTTTTAAAATGTAGAGCGGGACTAATTTAAAAATGGAGTGGTGCACAGTAAGGTTACAGCTGTATGATTTGTCTCACTGGTAGCTGAGACTTTATGCTGCCACATCGTCCTTGTGATTTATCTGTAATAGAGAACTAAGTGTAGTCTTTTTTATCCGAATGTCACTTTTCTTTAAACATTTTGGTAACAGTATTTCTGAATTTAATATTGTCTTGGTACCTGTTAGCAAAACACAGCGTTCTTTTGAAGTGTTTATGGAATTTGGACATGAAGATACTTGTTTTGAGTTTTTCTAAGTAATGGATAAAGACTCAGGACAGTAGAGGACTGGGCAGACTGATAGGGATTTCCCTTAGGTTTTATTTGTTTGTTAGTACCTTGTAAAATGTACCAAGGATACATTTTGCAGGGCACTAATGTCTGATGTCCCCCTTGTATGTGAACTCTGGATTAATTCAGTCTTCTTTAGATCCTGTAGATCTTGGTAATTAATATTAGTGTACTAATTGTTACTCTAGCACCTAGGACTTGTCACATTTCCCTGTTAGGCTGCAACAATTCATTAACAATTATAATTTTTTCAAAGAAGCCAGTCCCTTAGTTACATAAATTTTATTTGCTTTCATTAAGTTTTATATAATTAAAGTTTATGATTTGTTGGCGAGTAACCATTAAAGCTCATTTTATTTTCCATCTATACAAAGTATCTGAATATTACCTATATTATCAACATTATTTTTACTCAATAAATGACTTTGAGTATTTTCACTTAAAATATTACAAGCTTATAATCCCCAGTTTCAGTCCAAAAACACTCTGAATCACAAATGTTTTTTTTTTGTTTGTTTTTTCATAAATTTCACACAGTTTCATTTGGAGGCAGCATCTGATTTGAACTAATAGATGGTCACTTATCTCAGACACTGCTGGGTTTATGCACCTTAATATTTTTTGTTTGTTTGTTTGTTTTTCTAGATAGGGTTTCTCTGTATTGTTTTGGAGCCTGTCCTGGAACTCACTCTGTAGACCAGGCTGGTCTTGAACTCACAGAGATCTGCCAGCCTCTGCCTCCCGAGTGCTGGGATTAAAGGCACATGCCACCACCACCCAGCGTACCTTAATATTTTGTATGATCTGAAAAATCTCGGTTCTAAACTCCGCCAGTTTATTACTGTTTTTCTCGGTGCTGCAGAACAAGGAAGAAGTCATGGCTGTGAGACTCCGGGAAGCTGATAGCATAGCCGCCGTGGCTGAACTGCAGCAGCACATTGCCGAGCTTGAAATCCAGGTATGGCGTGGCTTCCTCCCTGTGCTCCAGACCTGCCTCCCGGCGACTGTGGAGGCCAGAGTTGAAGTTGAATGTCTTCCTCTATTGCTATTGGCTTTATTCACTGAGGCAGGGTCTCACACTCTGGCTAGTCTTGCTAGCCAGCCTGCTCCAGGAATCCCTTGTCTCCTGAGTCTCTGCCTGCCTGGCATCATAGGCAGCTGCCATGCTCAGCTGACACTCACATGGATGTTGAGGACCTGAACTTGGGGCTTCTCACTTGGGTGGTATGTGCTCTACCCACAGAGAAATCTCAGCCCTCAGGTGTGTTTTTGTTTATACATAACATAAAGTGTTTAACATTTACAATTAAGAATATTCATGCTGTTGTATGGCCACCAACACCATCTGCCTCCAGAACATTGTTGTTTCCTGCATGAAACTCAGCGTGTCCAGCAAGTCCTGACTTGACGTTCCTCCTTCTATAGCCCCTGGCGTTCACCATTTAGTGTCTTATCTCTGTGAATCTGACCACTCCAGTTACATTCTATTGGGAACCATGAAACGGTCCTTTGTGATAGGCTGGTTTCACTTGGCATGAAGTTCTAAGGTCCATTCACGTAGTGCACCTTATACCCTCTTTCCTTTTAAAGCTACGTGCGCCCTTCACTGCCTGTGTCTACTACATCTGTGCTACCACTCATTTGTCTGCCTTTGCTGTTGTGAGCGACACTGCTGTGATCAGAGATGTTTCTGTGCATCATCTAGAAATACTGCGTCATACGATAATTCTGTTTCAGTTTGTGTGGAGTTGCAATGCTGTTTTCTGTAAAATGTTCCGGTTTACATTCCTAAATTCAGAGCACAAGAATTCCATTTTCTACATCTTCACCACTACTAACTAATTTTCAGGAGCTTGGAAACCTGTCATCCTGTGTGTTTTAGGTGGTATCACCTCCTTATTCTCATAGGCGGTTTCCCAGTGGGTGGTAGTACCAGGCATCCCTTTACCTGATATTTAGCTTTATGTATCATCTTTAGAGAAAAGTCCACTCAAGCCTTGTCCACTTGTGAATCTATTTGTCTTGTCTCTGATGAGTTGTAGAAGGTACTTGTGCATTCTCAGTAGCAATCCCATGTCAAATGATGTTGTTTATAAATATTTTCTCCTGTATGTTCTTTTTAAGATTTATTTTTCATTGGGCGTTGGTGGTGCATGTCTTTAATTCCAGCTCTTGGAAGGTAGAGGCAGGCGGATCTCTGTGAGTTTGAGGCCAGCCTGGTCTAGCGATTTCCAGGACAGGCTCCAGAACAATACAGAGAAACCCTGTCTCGAAAGAAACCAAAAACAAACAAACAAAAAAGATGTATTTTTTATTTTATGTATATGGGCCTACGTTATGTATACCATGTGCATGTAATGCCCACAGAAGCCACAAGAGGGTGTCGGTTCCCTACAGGTGGTTGCTAGCCACGATATGGGTTCTGGGAACAGAACTTGGGTCCTCTGCCAGAGAACACTTGCTCCTAACCGCTGACCTGTCTCTCTAGCACCAAGGTGTCACAGGTCTTTCTTTGTGCTGTCAGCTCCCAAATAATGATACGGAGACTTTTTATTAATTATGAAAGCTTGGCCTTAGCTTACGCTTGTTAACTAGCCCTTAAGCTCTAAATTAGCCATTTGTATTAATACACATTCTGTCGTGTGGTTCATACCTTTCCTTGGTACCATACACTCACCTGCATTTGCATCTGGCTGGTGAACCTCCTGCCTCAGATTCTTTCCCAGAGTTCCTATCTCTCTCCGGAAGTCCCGCCTATCTTCTCCTGCCTAGCTATTGGCTGTTCAGCTCTTTATTAAACCAATCAGAAGGTGCCTTAGGCAGGTGAGGTAAACAGAGACATATCTTCACATGGTGTACAAAAAGATTATCTCAGCACCAAAGGTAGCCCCTTTTCTTTGTTGATAATGTCTTTTGATATATGAAAGCCTTTTATTTTTTGAAGTCCAAAGTCTGAGCAGAGAACTTGGATTTCGCTTTTGTTAACTGGTAATAAGTCCATTTTGAATGGCACTTCATCATATTTCTGCACTGTCACTTCTATTTTAAAAAGAAAATTTAGATTTTTAAAAGTAAATGTGGGTCAAACATGGTGGCAAATGTTATTCCAGTCACTTGAGAGGCTAAAGCAGGAGATGTCAGGCTTGGGCACTAAATATTCTTAAACTTTTCTCTGACTTTCTGTGCCAAGTCCTTAGCAATCCTTATACTGTTACTTTGCTATAAGGTTGGATTTCTTAGATTCCAGTGTTCATGAGCATATGGGTTTATACATATCACAAATGACAAGATTTCTTTTTGCTATATTTTTTTTGTTTTGTTTTGTTTTCTAGGCAGCATGTTACTGTGTTGCTCACATTAGCATGGAAGTTTATATGGCTCAGGCTGTCCTCTAACCCATGATCATCTTGTTTCTGCTTTCTAAGTGTTAGGATTGCAGAATGCCGTCACAGCTAGCACAACTCCCATCTTTTTTAAAGGCCAAGTAGCATTCTATTGTATACACTGACATCTTCCTTATCCACTCATCAACCAGTCCATGCGTAGGTAGGTTTCACATTTGGCTTCGGCGAAATCAAATGTTTTTCTATTCTACTTCAAAGCTTCTGTGTGGGCAGAGTTTTCCTGTGCCATTAGCCGCTCCCAAATCATCACTTAGAAACTTAATATAATTGTAAATGCTCAGCCAGTAGCTCAGGCTTGTTACTAGCTGGCTCTTACATTTTAAATTAACCATGTTTCTTATCTGTGCTCTGCCACTTGGCTCATGGGTTATTCATTTTCTATACATCCTGCTTCCTCTGTGCCTGTTGGTGTCTCCTGACTCTGCCCTTCTTCATCTCAGCATCCTTAGTTGGGGTGTCCTGCCTATTTCCTGCCTTGCTGCCTTCCAGGCAGTCCTTTATTAACCATGAGAGTAATACATATTCACAGTGTGCAGAGGATTGGTTATTCCACCACACTTCTGTTTCTCTGTATCTTGAGTCTTGATAAGTGGACCATTTGTTAGCACGTTTTCAGCCTGGAATAACTTCAGGTACTCCTTTCTTACCATCTATAATGCATGCCAAAGATGCATGTGTAAGGTGGTCAAGTTTTCGGCTTCAGTAGCTAACATTATTTTACACCTTAAGTTACTTCCCTGCCGGTGTTTTACCTGTTGTGTGGACTAGTACTACAGGAGGCAAAACAAACAAGCCCCTTTGTGGACCTGTCCTAGCATTTCTGATGTTCCCTGCCCACCCTCAGTTCATCTACTGACTGTCTTGCTTCTCCCAGCCAGTCTCTTTTTACAGCTTCCACTGTAGGTAACTCTCCAGCGGTTCCCAGAGCTGCCTTTCTAAAATACAAGCATCTGTTGGTGGCCTTTACCTGCCAATCACATCAGAACTCCTCAGCATGAGATCCTCGTCTTTTATCATTCCCCACACTCATGTTTCCAGCTTTATCTCTCGCCACTCTGTCTCCGCCCCCACACACAACCATGCCCACTATCCTCCACAGTTTCCTTTTCCAGGGCTTTCGAGTTCTTTCAGATTGCCGTGCCCTTCGGCGTACTGTTGTCTTCTTACAGTTTTGTACATTCTACAGTTTTTGAGGCAATTTCCTTGCTCTTCCAGAACTGTGTGCCCTTGATCTGACTCGCTTTTAAGTCACTCTGGAAGGATATTGTTAGTAAATGTCTCTGGCTCAGCATTTATTTATTGTAGATTAAGATCCACAGATACTAATTTAATGTATTTATTTATTTACTGTAGATTAAGATTCACAGATAGGCAATAATTTCTGCACTCTCAAGAGAGAGGCATGAAGATTAAAAGTTCAAGGCCAGCATGAGCTACTATATAGAGCTATGTCTTAAAGGGAAAAAAACCTCTTAAATTATTCACAGTTGTGGAAATATGTCAAATCAGTTTTAAGTTCCACTAGGGGGGGACTAAGACTCTGTATTTTGTATTTATCCATCAATTAATGTTTCCAATTGATGTTATGTAGCCTTGGTTAAACTGAAACTCACAAAGATATCTTGCCTCTGGTTCCAGAGTACTGGGATTAAAGGTGTGTACCACTAGGCTTGGCATTTGTTAATTTCTCACAAACTAAATTCTCCATGTAATAAACTATATTATTATATAACATGGTTTTAATTTTTGTATTATATAATGCATAATCTCTTATTCTTATAATTAAAGCTTGCTTTTTAATATAATTACTAAAGTATACTTTTGAAAATATACGTAGAGGAAATAGAGGGAGAAATACTTTATAAATTCTGTGACATTCTAAAAAGACTTTAACATATATGTGTATATATATGTGTATGATATACACACACGTGTATACACACATACACAGACACAAACATACGTACACACACCTGTGAGGCTAACATTTATTGAATTTGTTTTCAAAGATTCTTCAGCTACTTTGGGGCGATTGAGTCCACCTGCATGTTATTATTTGACATCAAGACGTGTGTAATTGTTTATTATTTTTTATAATACTGCTCCTACTTTTGAAGGAAATGCTTTATTTTAGAGTCTTACATTGAACTTAAACCTTTTCCTGGAACTGTTGTATTGTTGTTTGTCATTTGTTTTTCAATATAGGGTTTTTCTATGTAGCCCTGGCTGCTCTGGAACTTGCACTATAGACCAGGCTGGCCTCAAACTCAGAGATCCGCCTGCCTCTGCCTCACAAGTGCTGGGATTAAAGGCACCAACCCCAGCTCCTGGAACGGTTTTAAAAATGTATTACTACCTACATTTCTTGTTCTTAAACTGAATGATAGTTATTTATTGGCGAGTCTAGTCACTATTCTGCTACAATATTAACCTGGGAACAATAAATTTTCTGTCTATAAAAGTCAGATGTTTAATTCCAAAATGGCATCAGGTTTAAGAAATTAGTATATCATGTATGTCATTTTAATCTTTAGGTAGTCATTATATAGTTATT